TCTCAACATTGGCGTGAGAATTTCAATACCCACCTCTAAAAGCTCCACCTCAAGTTGGAAATTTCTGATGCACGTCGGAAAGAAACAACATCACTGAGCGTCAAGCGATATATTCAGGCTCAAAAAATCCACACTTGCGTGAACATAAAAATTGACAAGGCTAGGTTCACATCAGCGTAAATTTTTATATACGTGCTCAAATTTGTCTTTGCACAATGGCATCGGACGTTTCTAGAAAGTTTCACCACATCAGCTTTGGCCTTATTTTAATCGAGACGGTCTGAGTAGTGTCACCACTAGCAAGAACGTTTCAAAATGTGGAACTTCGTGAAGTTTTCTAATACTCGCTTCAAAAGAGTGTCCACATCGGCGTCGGCTCTTTCTACGAGTTGTAGTATAATGACTTCACACCAATGTGCAAATTAAACATGAAAGTTAGATTTATAACGTAACTTCAATCCTTGGAACCGGCCCCATTAAACTTAGGGCTTCTTGCCAATTTGTACTATATGTGCAATGGCAACCGGACCTCCGCTAATTTTGGTTTTGTTGGTGGGCCTGGTGGCCGGTTCTCGGAGCTCTGATATGGCGAAGAATCGAGGGGCTGGTGGGCGGTGCCAAATGGTCCACTCTTGACAGCAGGGCTAAAAGTCGCAAATTCTATAACTTTCTGCATATGAAGAAGGTATTAGAAGGAGGTATTCAATAGCCTTGTATACAAGTTGTACCTACTCTTGCCAGCCCTCTGCAAAAGGTCCCCCAAAACCCACGCCACAACAATCAACCGGGTCTCAAGAAAATGGTCAAACGTTTTTTGTCAAAAATGACAATGATCCATGGGCATTTGCATCCCGGGCCGGTCAATTATGATCTATTGCTCCGAATCGGTCACACTAAACCCAAAGATATGCATTCCACTTGTGTTTCGAAGAGAACGTATATCCATCCTCAATTTTATAGGTGTCTAATTTCGGCCTTTTTTTGTCGGGGCTTGGGCAATCCTGACCAGTGGCCGGTGATTTTTGGGTCGATCTTTCGACTTTACCCCCCTGGTGGTTGGTTTCATATCCAAAGGGTCCGGACTCACGCATATGCACGGATGTTTCACACGATGCCAAGCCTGGCTCAAATAGTATGCACACTCACGTGAACCACATCATTGGCGTCAAAAGTTCTTTTTAAAGTTACCCACCTTCAAAAGTCGAACACACAATATAGAGGTGAGTCTATATGTACCTTGGAAAAGGACCACATTACCATGGAACTTTTGGCCCGTTCGAATTCTATCTCCGGTTTCCCCTCGGTTTCCTATCATGCATCGGGCCGCAGTGCCGTAGTGTATCGGACCTGCGCGTGCGCACTGGACATGAGTCGTCGATTTTAGGGTTTGATTCAGTCGGACGGAGCCCTGCGCTCAAGACTCAATCCATGATAGGTTGTTTAAATAGTGTAGTGCAGACCGCGGAGAGGAGCTAGGACTGCGGCCAGCCCTGTAAGCTGAACGCAAAAGTTGCTGATGCAACTTTCTGTATGTTGCGAGCCTGAGAGGGAGAAGTTGCGCTATGACGGCTTAGTAAGGTCCCTGTGAGGTCACCTGATTGTAGCTTCTCTTCATGGGTGCCAAAGCAGAAGTTCCCTGAGCGCATGTGCTTGCGCTCTTGTACATGAGGTGCGCCGTGCGCCGGGTGTGCAAGTTGGCGGTGTGCCAAGCGGATTGGTGGGTCCATCATAGGTCGGAATGCCTTTATACTTGGTAACCAACGGGTAGCCAACTAATTTGTTGTGGCTAGAATTGGCATGTTGGCAATTCGCATGTAGCACAGATGATCCGAGTAGACATGGTGGCGCAGAGGCGCTACCGCGTCGACAACGTACCATGGCATGACATCCGACAACCCCTCCGGAAGTGGGTCGGTCTGTTGAAACAAGGCTGATTTATATTCCCCAATATCCCGGCGGTAAAGCGTGTTTGGCCGAAAAGCAGCGCTAGCGGGCCAAATATAATTCACATAAGGCTACGAGCCCAGTCCGTACCATCCGTTTGTGCTCTGATTGGCATCAAGGGGCATTCGGGTTGGACCAAAATTGGAGGTACGAGCACCTTTCAGAGGCATGGTTTGTGATCGGTTGCGTATCATGATTGGACCAGATGTCGCGTTTTTAAACACAAAAATGTCACTTTTGATCTCTAAAGTCGCGAAGTTCCTATCACTCAACTCGGTTACTTCTCAAAATTTAGGTCGCGGTCAAGGACAGGGTGACGGGCAATCATGATTCAAATGCCAGCCTTGAATGCCCGCACATGCTTTTTTATTGCTTCAGCCGACTCAACTTCCTTCGAAGGTAGGGCGTTTTCAAACATATGATCGATCATATGTTTGAAATAAGGCTCTGCCGTCGTCCATATGTGGACAAAGAACTCTATTCAATTAGATTGAATTGATGTGATCATGGCGCTTCGACACGAGAACACGAGCCTAGGAAAACCATGGCCATGCCGTGACCGGCATTGAATATTTCACATGCGTGCCTTGCTAGGCAATTGCAAGCTCACAATACTAAACAAGTGGTGTGACATGTTGTGAACTAAATTGCAAAATTGCCAAGCCTCTACGTTTGGCTGCAAACTCAATTGCCCGACCGCCTTTAGGAGACGCGGGCCCATGCCGCATGTAACCGGCCTGTCAAATTTTCATGTTTAATCTTTCAAGGGCTACGTTATGCAGGCGGGCATCCCATTCTGTGTGTATGGCAAGGAAAACACGGTAAGGTTTTGCAACAATCAAGCATGCCGGTGATTCAACTATTTAATGGTCCGATCATATCTTCAACAATGGATGCACCATGTGGATGAAGCCTACAGATGGATTTTGTAGCAGTGGCAGACACACCATCCTGAGACGCTTTTGCGCCAGGGCTTGAGACAACGTTGTAGGTTTACACACGAGTTAAAAGACAAGCGATGAACAAAAACCCAATTTTGCTCTCAAGGTAGATGCAGGATTAGGCTATGTTGATTGAGTGGGTATCTGGCGCTTTACTCCATTTCCAAGGGCAGATCCTTCCTCCCACCCCATTCTGTCCATGAGCCATCATAGATAGCTGCGTCCTTCTTCCCTAGCTTATGCAGCGCCTGCAATCAATGAAAGTGGTTTCAAAACAGTCCGTCAAGCATGAATAATTACCGAAGTTACCGACAGACACATTCGTCCTAATCGCTTGAAGAAGGCCATCTCGTACTATGTCCTCTAGGCATGCCGTGACCCCGAATTGATGACTGAGGAGCATCTAGGTCGCGATTTTGGGAATCAGGCCCTTCAACTGAGGAACTTGAAACTCTCAAGACGTGGCATCGTGTTACAACGAGCTTAGCCTCGATCATCACGGAGCTCTTGCGCCAAGATAGTATTGCTTCTTGCAATTGAGCTCCTAAGTTGGCAATGCAATGTTAACAGCTGCTTCATTGCAGCTCATACTTACTTGGACCCTCAATGATTCCAAAGACCTTGGACATGAAAAGAGATGCGAATCTTGTGTCTAGGACGTTCAAGTACACACTCATATCTGGGGCCTGGGCCAACGTTTCAGACAAAAATGCAACAACCTTAGGATTGTCTCACCAGGGCAAGCACGCAGGCTGTCACGCCCGTGCCACAAGAAGTAATGATCGGCCGGTCGAGCGACACTCCAGCAGATGCAAACACCGTCCGCAACTCCTCTACAGGCTTCATTCTGCCGTCCGACGTCAGCACCTAAAACGAGAACGGCCGGTGTGCAGATTGGGGGATCAGGATATGGCTCGCACCAGTACTGTAAAGCTTATCTGGCTAAGGGGCGGGGCAAGGGTGGACAAGCTTCCTCTCTGCGATAGCCTTCGTATGGATGAGAAATAAGGAGCTTGACTCAGCGGTGAAATGAAATCAAAAGCGTCAACAATCACTCGATAACTTCCTCCGCATAATGGGCGACTTCCTCCCAAACGGATCCACCTGGCCATATCGGCAACATTTCTCCGTCGTTCAATCTGCTTGACCAGCTCTAATGGCTCTCGGATCTCATCAATCTCGAAACACTTTTCTCATCCGAGCTTCGCTCAAAAAATGCCGCTGGGGAGCTTCAGAAAAGACGCTAGGGAGCTTTTGAAGACATGATACGGGCACCAAAGGGCCCACACCTGAGGGAAGGGGACATTCTTGCTGCCGGGAATGTGCCCCCCACGGACGCCCTTCCGCGGTTCCGGTTCAGTCCCGTGGAACCTGCAGCGGAGAGCGGACATGTCAGATAGAGGTAGGTCCGCTGGATGCATGGCAGGCAGAACCTTTTGCCGACTCGACTAAGGAGACGAATAGTGCATGACGGACTCAGCTCGACAATGCGAAACCGTTGAAGAAACAAAAGGTTTCGTTTTAGTATGACACGTTGCTTGTTCTCTACAGCTGTCAACAAGCTTCTTGAGCCGGGAGGAAACCCGTTGGTACCATCTTTTGGCGCGTACAGTCTCCGGAGAAAGCCGATACAGTAGGACAGGGCAGTGTAAAACCTCTCCATCTAAGTCTCACACGCTTTTGCACGAGCTGCACAAACGTCTTATTGACGACAAGATGCTGGTCCGGAAAAGCTCTCGCTCCATACGTCGACTGCATGGCCCTTCATGAGAGATTGGTCTACCCTCAGACTCGCAAGAACGACTCAACCGAGGATATCGCGAGCCTGGAGAAACCAGAGATTCAGCGGTATTCTTGCCTGCCGGCCCCCCGAGCATCGACGACATCCGCTTCCCTCGTCTCCAAGTTTCGCTGCACGTCCTCGGCTTCCCGCAGGAGAGACTCGTTCAATTCAAGCGGCTCTCCCGGCTCCTGCGTTCTGTTGATCAATGGGGGACGACATCGCATGAGAGAAGACCTCAGAGACCCTTCAACCTTCTAATTTGTCGGCTAAGGCGTGTCAAGTGCTTGTTCATTAGAGGCTTGCCTGACTCGTACACCTTGGCAAATGGCCGCGAGGAGCACAATGCAAAGATCTGCTCCTCGCTTCGTTCGAGTGTACCAGAGAAATTGCGGTCAACAGAGGTTTATTGGTCACAAGGTCAGAAAGGGCTGACCAGAAGCAACACTGCGACGGACAGGGGACGTCACGCAAAAGGAGAAGCTTCAATTGCGCTTTCTGCGGCTCGCCAAGAGGCTTTTGGTGTACCAACTATTCGCCGCTTTGCCTTATAAAGAACCTCTGTCAAGGGTTGGTGCGGAACGAAGTACGGAAGGAAGACACAGGGCAACAACGAAAAGCGAACAGCCCAAGCCGACGGATCGAGGGCAACCGCCCCTCGTCTAGTCACTAAGTGCGGCAGCCCCCCGAAGTACAAGGCACTTTATAACAGCGATTCCAGGGCCTTCAAGAGAGACGCGCTCCGAAGACACCCCACCTTGAAGTCTCGGGTCTTCCGCTGTCTGTCTGGAATCCAAGCGCCTTCCACCGCGGTAGGCCCCCCTCCAAAACGTGCACTCGTTCGTGGCCGAATGCGCGGAACATCCACCACGCGCGAGGGGCGCTGAAGATGCCCTTTCCGTCATAAACGACGACCCGGTCATGGCGCCCAATGCCGAGGTCCGAAAGAGCCCGGCTGAAAACGGCACCGGACGGCAGCATGTGAGGAAGATCGGTGTCGGTCCGGGAGACTTTGTCGATGTCAAAGAAGAGCGCGCCTGGGATGTGACAAGCCTGGAAACGAAAGATTAGTCAAGAGTGGTTCATGACACGAAAAACGAGCAAATGACGGTTTTGTCTCGAGAGCCCGTCCGAAACTGGTCGTGAAGAGCAGCCTTTGTGCGAACAGTTCTATGGACAAAGAGAGGGCGCACAGGGTGTGCCATGGCTGAAAACAAGGTGGATTGGTTTCGGTCACACAGATGTGAGTGACTTTTGCGACTTGCAAGGTCAAAACGGCCATCTGAGAATCCGAACAAAAGAAAACCAGCGTTGTTGAAAGACAAAGTCCAAATCAAAGTTAGCATGCGGAATATGACATGCCTGCGTGACTGCAATCTTGATCTTATGCCAGCTGCAAATTCTCCCTCGTTTTTCTAAAGAGCAAATTTCGCACGAAGAGACGGGGGTAGACGAGGAAGCAATCCTTACTAGGAATTCCTCTTCAGGCTTCCTTTGCTCCGCCGGCATGTACCAGGATGCGTCTAGAACCTGCAGGGGACAACGCCACAAACAAACTGAGATCTTAAAGTCGCGCATAAGAATCGAATGACTCAGTAATGTGATGCTGAATGGGCCGCCCTTCTACACACAGGTCCTGAATGAACTCCAGTGGCATGGCCGAGTGAAGTGGATTGTAAAACAAAGAAGATTTCCCACAAACGACAGTTGGATCTCGTAGTAATCTGCAGTCCAACACGCAGAATTGTGATGAAATATCCGCACCTTCACATTGCCCAGCTTGGACTGTAGCCACTCACAGCTGACCGTGGCAGCATCATCCTCAATCTCAGCCGCTGCTGAGGCTTGGGCATTCGCAACGTTTGCGCTGGCTGACATGATGATGGATCGAGGTGCAGGAGTTTTCAATTGAGTGCTCTGTTGACGGAAAGGGAGAAGAGTGAGAAGTCCAGAGCACGTTTCTCACCATCTCTGTAATGGAGACTTTTCAATAGAGAGAGCTGAATAGAAGTGATTCTCAGTAGGACATGAATCCTGCCTACATCGGAAATCAAACTGCTTAGAATTCTTTGGCTAGAATTCAGCTGTGACGTTTTCACACTGTCAATAGTGGAACAATGCTGGAAGTACATGTCAGACAAAACAATTGCCATTGAAATTCCACCGAACTCTAGCAGTGAAAAAGAATCAATTTTACTTCCTCCCCCCGCCGCACAAGCATCGTCGCGTCTATATCAGCATTTTGTTTCAGCACAACCATTAAAAGCTATCATCATCATGTGGACTATATTAACTCCAAAAACAATCTGCAGATTAGTGGTTTGAATATCAGCGTGCCTGATAATTGGTGTCGTGTGGCTTGAATAATTCGACATCCTCTATTTCATAAATCTGCCCAATTGTAGCATTGCTCTGGATTAATCAGCAGATCTTCAAGAAAAGTTCTGCTTACTGGTGCAAGGCCCCCTCCAGTCCACTTCCCGCAGACAGCACGCTCCTTGCTGGGAGCAGGCTTGCACTGAATCCAGAATGCAAACCCTCTACGAGCTGATTGACGTTGCAGACTTGTGGTGGTGGGAAGCAATGAAAGAGCCAGGCGCGAGACAGCGCAAGCTGCATAAGCCATCCGCTAGGAAGGACAAACCACGCAGCTCTATTAGAAGCTTAGAAAAAACGCAGCTGCAAACCCGATGCCAGCAATGGTCTGCCAATTGGCTGAAAACTGAAGCTTGCAGAAGCTTCTCAGTTCGTTGTGCTGACCCAATTGGTTTGAATCAGAATGGGAACCCTAGGCCTTTGCTCCTCGACATCTGTGCTTGTCGTGCTGCTCGTAACCACGCCCGGGCAGAGAGTACTGCTTTGGGAATAGCGTGGTATACTCTTATATATTCACTGTAGAGCTAACATCTGACCTATTACTGCGCTCATATAAGGGCTTGATCAAAATGATAACTCTGACAACCAATTTGCAGTGACGATAATTTGAAATAGGAATACCTTGGTACCAGACTCGACAAGATTCGGGCAACAAATTTGCTATTTCATATTCAGAGAGCAACCTTCGATAAGGCAGCTTGCCGAGGGCTGGTTATGCATAAGGCTTTCACCTCAACCCGGTCGTGCCCGGGAGTGATAAGGGGCAGCCCCGGGAGGCCCGCATAGCAATCTAGGACAGCCGGTGAAGGTGGCCGGTTCCATTATGCAGTTACCGAAGCTGTTCTTGGTACCATACGTTTAGATGTCCCAGCCTTTCAAGGCAGCGCAATTCAGACTTCTTAATTGCACTTGGGCTTGCTGGGCAAAAGAGAAGCCTCAAGGTAACCGTCGGCTTGACTGGATTTGGTCAATGGATGTCAAAGGGGTGCGCCATTGTGATTGGCTCGGTTCACGTGCCCCGGTCCAAAATCGTCGATCGGAACACGCGTACAGCTGCATGTCGGTGCTTGGCGAGAAGCGATCCCGTCGCGCGCCCTCAGGAACCCTTGCCAACCGATTCTCTGCCGATAATCCTCTAACGCAGCAAGTGTGAACCGGCCGCAGGCCAACTTGAAGACCACCGATCGCGCCAGCTATGTAATCACCGGCCGTGATATCTACGTGCAACGGAAGTTCCGGGACAAGGACGTATTAAAAGTAGATACCTTCTGAAGTTCTGAGTTCTACCCGGTAGATTCGAGACGGCGCGTCACAAATGCCCCCGCTGCAGAAAGAGCTTCTGAACTCACGGACGTTGTTAGGCGACTCGAAGTTAAATCCCGGTTTCGGGTCCCCGACCGACCCAAAATCCGAAGGATTTTGGGAAAAATATTAAATATAGAAGATAAATTGTCCCAGATTTTCCGATTTTGGGTTGAAGATATTGGGAGCTTACTAGAACTGGGCCAAGAAATGAGGTTTTCCCCCCAAAAATACTCCATATTACTTCATATTTCAAACATACGGGAAACAAACCAACTATTATTTTTTCCCGACCGACCGACCCACCCAAAAGGGGGTAGGACCGGAACCCGGGAATTAAATTCGACCCGCCTTACTGAACTTCTCAGCACACGCCACACCTAGAATATTGCCCTGTTTCTACATAAATGGCCGTTTACCGTCGAAACCGGTGAATTTGGTGACGGGAGCGCGGGCAAGTGCGGCAGAATCTTGTGACGGATTAGCACGTACAGCACTTTATCGAACGGAATCTACAGCCAAATTACGAGCCCGTCGGAAATGACTCCTCGGGAGTCCTCGATTGAGCGACCTTTCTATGCAAATATGCGTATACCTCTGTCGCCGGAGTTACAACTCAGGGCACGGTGGATGAAAGAGAATTCGTATCGATCTGTTTTAACCGTACAGTCATCAGTAACCTACCGTAATTTTACCAATTGGTACAAGTTTGATTGACCCGGTAGGTAATCCCGGTAGCCTGTCCTGAAAGCGAACCGACCACTATACCCCGTCCAAAAGCTACCCAGCTACCCGGTAGCTAAGCTCGGTACTTCGTTCCGCGCTTCCGGCAACCTTGGTCCCCGACGATCTGTAGGCGAAGTTCAGTATCACATCGTAGATTAATTGGCGTTTCTTAGAGACGTGACAAGGGACCGGCTATTCCGTGACCGGTTGGTACCGTATTAAAATCAAGGCCAATGAGCTAGCCCCGGTTAGGAATTGAGGGGGGCGAGAGACACAACACGGTGAGCTTTGCTTTGCTCACAGGAGTCAGGGTAGCAGCCTGCAGAGACGCATAAAAGTCGGAAGAAGGCGAGGCCTGGAGGGAGAGGACGCTTTTGAAGCGCCTACATTGCTGCTGATTTTGGAGACCGGTCAATTGCTCTACAAAGTGCCTGGATCGTCCGAGACGGCTTGTCAGGATCTCGCCGCTCCGGAATTATGGGCGTGCAATGCCGGCTCCATGTCACTCTCGCAATTGTCGTCGTCCTGGTGTCTTTTTTCTCTCAAACGGCAGCCATCCGCACACAATTTAACCCACTCTCAGGTCCTGAAGGCAAACTCCCGCCCCTTCAGAAGCCCGTCCCCGCGCCCGCCTGCGAGCGGCTAGAGTGCCCCCCGTACACTCTGGTCCATGAAGACCCCAAATTTGAGATCAGGAAATATGCGGCGGCAGGCTTTGTGCAGGCGGGTCCATTGGCGGACGTCTCGTTTGTGAGTGCCACGAAGCGGGGGTTCCATAAGCTGTTTCAATACATTGAGGGCGCTAATCTGAACGACACCAAGGTGCCCATGACGGCCCCGGTAGTCACAACGGTGATGCCATCAGCAGGGCCCTTCTGCTCGAGGTGAGCTACAAATCGCCGGTCACATATCACTGATGTGTGGCGTCCCGCTCTGGCACCAAAATTATGCAGGAGTTTCCTCCTCGAGTTGCTGCCTGTTGCCTGACTCCTAAATTTCCTGCCAATGCTCCGGTCACTCTCTCAGCACAATGATTCCTGGCGTTTTCATATCATTTGCACCACTATTGTAAAATGATGACACTGTCATTGACAATTTTAGCGACATACAGACTTCCCTTGTGTTGGAGGTGGTCAGTTACATCATATCGCGCGCGCTCGATTTAAAAAAGCTCCCTGAGAAAAAAATGTAAGTGCTTCGTGAAGTGCGCCCTGAGCTGTCTTGCAGCTCCTTCGATTCATGCCTGGATGTGATCTCTGAACGTTCTCTCTCATCCTGCAGCGCATTTGCCGTGCGCTTCCCCGTGCCGGAAAAGTTTGAGCAGGGCCCGCCGGTGCCCCTCCCCGAGTTGGAGCTTACTGTGGTCAACACACCAGCCAGGTACAGGAATCAATGCGCTTACATCTTATCCATCGCGAGACTGCTTATTGCTTCCTGTACGAGTTCATTTCACATGTCCAGAAAGATTTTGCAAATTCGTGTATGTCATCTAGATTCACTTATTTTCTGCAAGGCCTGAGTGGGTGAGCGACAGCCCATAGGAATCCGTTCAATCGACAGACTAGGTATGTCGTTCAGATGAGTAGAATGGCTGCTTCTACCCTTCGCAATCGCACATCACAATTGGCAACACTTAAGTCACACATTTGTGTTGCCATCCGTGCTCTATGTTTGCACGTGTCCCGACTTTGACACAGCCCATCCAACGCCATCAGCTACCGCACCAGAATCCAGCAGTGTCTTAAGAGTTTTCCAAGAAAATGTTGCTAGAAGCCACTACGAAAACATTATGATGGGCAACTGTAGCTTTATGCACCTCTTCTACGCTTTTGCTGCTCGGCAGAGTTCGAGCTAGAGCCCTTTTCAAACCGCCAAATCTGCCTCCCAGGTGTGTTGCAGTCCGCAAGTTCTCAGGCTTTGCCAAGGATGACAACATTGCAGAGGAAGCAGCCGAGCTTGCAACTAGTCTGGAGGGAACCAAGTGGGCCGCTGCCGCTGAAGGGGAGCGAGGGGTTGGGCAGGAGTCCTACTCGATTGCTCAGTACGAACCCATTCCAGTCTTCAGGTGAGACTCCCATGTTTACCTGCTTTTTGAGCGAGATGGGGTTGTTCTGGTGGGTACTTCTTAGCAGCCTGTCATTGAAAAGATGGTGGGGTGATCATCGGGTGCGTAGTCAGGTGCCAGATGCCTCTCGAAGCAGGCATTGCATTGATATAGCTGCAGAAATATAGTTTCTGATCAAAGGGCGCTTCAATCTGGACCATTCGATTGTGTTTGATATGGATATGTCTATCAACCGGGACAGCCAATTAGCAGAAACTATGTCTAGACACCAAGAATCTTCAATGCCTCCTCAAATTGGCATCTCAAATGTGCGGGTCCTGCATGTAGCTGCGCAGTCTTGTCCTTTTTCGTCCTGCTTCCTCATTGCAGAGGGCACAACAATCTCCTTAATGGCAAAGCTGCAATTTTCTAAGTCGAGTTGGAGGCAAAAGTGACTTCTTTTTCACCCAAAGCACATCATCCGACGCTTGCTGCTAAGTCTCTCCATGGTGAGACAGCTTTAAGTTGCATTGCTTGACCGCATGATAAGGTCCAATCCTGAACTCATGTTGGCCTCCGCAGACATAGACACAACGAGGTATGGGTGCCGTTGAGCCTGAGTGGCACGGAAGTGGAGAACGATTGCTCGCCGGCTACTCCAATTCAGAAGTTTAAAGATCATTTGAGCACCCTTGGCAACCGAGTGGAGAGTCTGCTTCGTTGGGTGGGTCAGTCGTAAGTTTAGCGTGAAGTTTCAACGCTCCCACTCCTTCAAGGGGAGTGCGCCTTGTCCTTTTGGACTTTGGACTGTAGTAAGATAGCAAGAAAGAGCAGGAGACTGGGATGAGTTGACGGAAATGTACCACAGAAAGGGGCATGGCTCATCTGCCAAAAATAGCGTTGCGGGGCCTCTAGACGCACCTTGCGTGCCCGTGAAACGGTCTCTTCTCGAGATCTTTCCAAGTTCTGACTTTTCTTCTTTGATCGTGTGGCACTGTAAGTATCGATTGTCATGAGTTAGTGTCGTTTCCTGCAACAAAATTTTGCAAGAGCAAACGGGTTGTACTTTCTTTTTGAGATAATTGTGCAGCAAATCCTCAAGTAACAACGAGGCACCACGGCCATTGGCTGGCACGCCCCTGCAGGGCCTGGTCACGATGTGCTTCGACAGGCCCAATCTGACGAACTGCCTTCTACTGAATACTCGAGTGGACGTCATGCTCTTTCTCCGTTGGGCCGGCCATATCGTTGTACACTCCTATTAAAGACCAACAGCTGATCAAAATCTGCAGATCGAGCTCTGAGTGCATGCATGAGTCACTCAAAGCTAAGTTTAACCGTTGGATTGTTTGCAAATGACTCGGAGGATCAACATGGGTGCCAGTGATCTTGCTGCATCATGCATGTAGAACATTCGGTCATTCGCCGGCGTCTGTACAATTATAGCTAGTGGCGTCACTGAAACTTCACCCGCCAGTATTGTCGGACCATCATGCAATTGAAGACCCGGTCTTATTACGCTATATTTATAACCTGGAACGATTGAAAGTATGTTGCATGAAATATATGATGCATGTTCGATCAGGGGCCAGCTAGCTTTTGGTAGTATAGCATGATAACTAGGTGATTGGCATGCGATCAAGTTGATACTACAGATTCAGTATTTCAATGAATGTACTCGCAGTAGAGTAAGTAGCCGCACCAGATCTTCCGTACGTACCGTGGATTCTCACCGCATATTGACTTTTCATTATACGCCCAGCCATAGTCACATGGGCCATAGGCTTCCATGGAAGGCGTAAGGATCATCAATCTTTTGATTCCGCCAGAACGTCATCAGTATGTATGTAAGAGCTCCTACTGCGAGAGGGCAAATGTGCTGCGCTAGCCTGGCGGCGGCTCAGCTGGGCTTGCACACGAGAGACTGGCACCTCCTTGTGCAGCACTGAAAAGCAAATCTGAATTGAGGGGACTGCTGATCGGTAAGACCGACGTACCCTCAGTACACGGAACCGGACGTGTCGACACTCGGAGCAAAGACGTTAGCAACGGTAATCTTCAAACACTGAGAGGGCCTTCGCCCGGCGGGCAATGGTTGCCGTCAGTGAACAGGGGTCTGCAAACACATTGAACTGCTGTCACAAAGGCTTCTCTACGTACACGTCACAGCTTTATGCAACTCGCGGGGGCGCCCCCAAGGCGTCTCGGATGCCGTCTTCAAGCTCGTCCAACGCTTCCTGCGTGGACACAACGACCGGCAACACTTGTTCTCGCCTGCAAGCAAAGGATGCAGAAGCGCTGACGGCGAGTCCTTGCAAGTGTTGTCAAAGTGACATCCAGCCGAGCGGCCCTACATTCAGAACAATAAGCCTCACTGGCTCGAACCGGCTGCTGGTTCAAATGGCACACGAAGCAGGCAGGAGACCAAGTTCAACCTTCTCAATCAAACAGCCATAGCAAGGTCGGACCTGAGCGGCTTTAGTCGACTTAAAATGAACATCTGGAAACCCTGCTCCCGGAGAAACGCTTCAAAGGAAACCCTCCTGTGCGAACTTGAAGACAGCATGCATCTGCTTTCAGCGACGAGGAAGATTGTATGCAGCCTTATTGCTCGTCATCTTCCAATTCGGGCGACAAAAGTCCAGCGACAGCAGTGGTCGAAGGTGCAGCCTTGAGAGCACGGGAACAACAACGTGGGTATAAAATGTTAACGACCTTCGATTGCCAAAAGCGAATTTTAAGCAGGATCAGGTGTGACGAAAGCTCACCCTTGGGATGTGGCCGAAGATAAGCTGACGGCCAGCACATCGTCGAGCTCCGAGAAGGCCCTGTAAGGATAAACAAGAAATTAATCTTTAGCGGCTGCAAAAGCATTTCTTTACACTGCGCCGAAAAGCAGCGGCTCCCCACTGCAAGAGCACACTCTCTGCTCAAAACGCGTTGGGGAAGCCGATGCGGAATCGATCTTAAAAGAGGAACAGCGGTTGATGTTGAGATGCGGGAGCCGAAGTGCACTTAGATTGCGCCTTCACTCCGTCTAGCCTACGCAGTACGGATTCCGAGGGCTGTAAGCAGGAAATTTTGAAGCCCACTTGATGGACGTTCGCCGACGTCCCTTGCATATGGTTTATTTCGAAGTCCTTCGTCTGCGTACGTACTCACTTACGGGAAGAGGTGGCAGCTGATATCGAGAAGCTGGCAAGAGCGTTTTGCAACAGTAGGCTCAGCGATTTGCAATGCTACTAAACGGAGCTCCTTAACAACAGCCAGGAACCTTGCTCGCTATACGGATTGCCCTTAGCAAAATGATTGGACCCGAACGAACTTAAAGACTACGTTGACTGATCAGGCGAAGCCATTGAGCTTGCAGTTTTTTCGTCAAAAAAAACATACAATCGACGAGATCCCCCGAGTAGTTGGAACTCAGTCTGCACGTGAAGCCAACCCCAGATGATTTCTGGAATCTACTTAGAAGGAGGGTCGGAGAAACATACCTGTTCAGATCAACGAGAGCTTGCTGTGCTCGCACACGCTTTGGGTCTGCTTTGTCAACCAGGGACACGGCGTTCTTCACCAAAAGCTTGAAAGTACACACCTAATAGAAAATGGTTACCCGTAAGGAGGCGAGAACAATTTTGACTCCTAACACGGAGCTCTGGAGGTTAGTTCCCCCGACAGAAATCCTTCCGCTCAACACATAGAATTAAAGGTCAGACAAAAATACTAACTTGATATTCGAGGATTGGCCGGCCGTGCGATTTGACTAGATCTCCTCGCCTACTCAAAGGAATCTTGGAAATGAAGCATCCGAAGACAGCATTTTTCGACACCTCTCTCGCAAGTCCTAACTCCACATGATCTCTCTGTTCGAATGGGCCAGGATTCAACGCCAGAGACAAGAAGAATCTGTCATTGATCTTGTATCTCTGACAACTTCAGACTGCTCCATGTAAGCGGCAGAAAGTACGTATGCAGGACCCTATCCTCTCCACAAAATATTGCGCATGGCGTCTAGATGTGCAGATGAAGAGGGTCCTTTCGTCATTCTCGTTTACATGTGCGAGAGCCTCCGTTCGCTCTTGAGCTTGGGAGGTTTTCACCCGGAAGAGGTGCAAGCTGCCCTGCATGCGTACTTGATTACCCGTTATTTGCAAAACTTGTCAGAGAGGTGATATAACTGACGTTTGAAGCCCATGATTAGCTGCAGAAAGAAATTCATGAGGGGCGCACCTCGAAAAACTTGGCCGCCACCGATTGACTCCCTGCATAGTGCTCTAGAGGCATGCAGTCCCGGGAGGACACCTGGACCAAATCCTTGGCTTCGGAGTACAGTGCAGGCGTCAGGGAGGGGGAGTCTGCAAACGAAGACCGAGAGGAACTGCCCTTCTATCCATAGATTCTGGGATGGCGAATTTTGTGTCAAAATTTACGGTGAGTCAGCAGTAACATCAACATCTCAGGTGACCAAGTAATGCAGACATACAAGTTAAGGGAATCTTTCTTTAGTAACACCAGACTCAACAAAAGAAACAGGACGACATCGGCAAGAAACCAGCTGCAGAACCAGACTGGATAACCAACGTATGCAACGTACGATTACAGAGTCCCCTTCCCATCATGATACCTCCAGGGGTCTTGAAGAGCTGGCCGTCAGATGAAAGCTCACCCAGGAGAGCATGAACTTTTTGCAGCTGCACCCGGGAAGCTTCGATGGGGTACAGCAGAATCTGGAACGTGTCCTTCTTGCGCTCCTTCAGCCGGTCCTTCAGGAAGGCTGCGAGGTCAGCATGATGTCAGCGGACTGAGCTGTTAATTGAGATGCACAACGTTTTATTTAATAGGGAAGAAGTGTCGCTGGACTCATGGCCTGCCTAAAATGCACCAATCCATGGAACAAGAGCATTTTACAGTTACATTGCCAGCTCACATGATCCCAGGGCATCAGCATTTCCTGGACACGTCGCTGCTGACCCCAATGCAACCAATAGGGCAGCTCCTGCCAGCAGCGCCTCCCGTCTTCCTGTGCCTTCCTCTGGTTTCGTTTGGCCACTTTCGGTGGCTTTCTGGAACTGCTTGGAGTTTCTTACGCTGACTTTGCTGCCTCTACAGCTTTCTGAATCGGCCACCACGGAGAGCCTAGGATGTTTCCTGCTGAGCAGGTGGGGGTAGCTTGGAGTGGGGGGAAGGAGATGCTGATGAAATTGCTGAGAGCGCTGGGTCAGCCATTGTGACTCCTTTGTCACACGAGCCCTGAGGCCTTCCAGTGCAGGCAGAGTGGATAAAGAGGACGCCATTGTCATGGATTGGCGGCAGCGCAAGGAGGCAATGCAGACCTGCTCAAAGCGTCAGAGTTTTGAAACCAATCTTCCCATCTACACGGTGCACCATTTATAAATAACGGTTCTGCACTGAAAGATCAAGTGATTCGTGAACTGTCAAGCGAAAGAGAACCGGCAAGCAAGACGGTTCTTTGCTCATCCTACGTAAAACTGGACGGTGGCAGGAAAAATTTTCACGTAGCACATACCGGCAAGAAATGCGGTGTCTAGCGTCGGAAAGCTGCACGGACGACTCCAGATAAATCATAGTATTAATATTAAAATGCCGATTCGAAAGAGCACCTCCAGAGCTAGGAAGATCTGTGGCCCATCTGTGGAAGAATTTGCATGCACACTGTCTGTCCCTCTGTCTTCATTCTTCTGAAGAAGTCACTCAACCAAAAGATTGTGATCGAGACGGGTGCTGGCAGCTTTCATAGCTTGGCCAGTACGTGTATCGTGTGATGCACCTTGATTTTTAGCTCGACACATTCACCTTCCCGTAATGGATTTGTACCCCCTGCATACAATTTGATGCATAATGAAAAAGCAATTTGATTTGACAATCAGTATATACCCCGTATATACATTATGAACGGCACCCCTTTAGTCCCTCATTTCTATCTTGCCATCTGAGCAAGTTGGGTCGCGACCCAACTTGCTAAGATTTAGCTACGCGGACCTATATGTCAGATGAACCACATGTGCAATCCATCGGACACCGTGACAATGATGGATACTAGCCTGCCCATAAAGGCCAAGGATAAGAAGGCTCGATCAGATTCTTCGGCAATTCGATCGATATGGATTTTAAAGAACAAATTCACATGTGTATTTGTTAAAATGGTCAGTGCATGTGTCATGACATGATATTGGCTTTCAGTATTGTTGTTAGTCAAAAGGAGTTTGACGCAAGATGATTTGGATAACAAGTAGAAGAAGTATGAGCTTTGTAAGCTTGATAAGCCCACTAATACATATCTCGAAGACAACCGCATGGCCTTATAAAGAAGAGAAGCCGGAAGACTCCAATGCCCACTGAAACCAAAATTGTCGCGTCCTGAAATATTGCTAGCACGCACAGCCTTCGGCAAGAAGCATATCATGAAAACTTGCACGTCTTTCATACTAATCCATGTCCCCAGCCTCTGTTAGTCTGCAGCTGGGCCCGAGCCAAACAGAACGTGGTTGAGCCACAATCAGAACCTGACAAATGTGGTTGTGGTAGAATCAGATGCTTAAGACGGAGACTAGAGTGGATCAAAGATCCAGTAGGGTGCTGTTAGAATGAACCAATCCGCTTCGAATCGTCCGCAAACCGGGATTCCGAGTTGAAATTGGATTGCAGTTTCCCGAAGAAGTTGAACCTAAAGAAAGGAAACCATTCAACCATCGCCTCTGAGTCACTAGCAAGCACTAGTGAAAGGAGTAAATCGCTGACACTTAGCAAGAAGTAACCATAGCGTGCTCAAAAAGCATAGCACAGAAAAGACAGCTTCTGATGGAAGCACCTCGCAAGCCTGCTGGCTTCCGCCTCTCCGCCTAATCAGTGACTTGGTGTTCTCGAAGCCAAAGTTCAATTTGACTGCTATTTCAGCTTCTTCCTGGCTTCTTCCCAATTCATCTTTGATCCACGTAAGAGAGCAAAGAGCAAAAAAATGTTTCTGTGGAGTGCATCTAGGTATGCTTGTGCTTAATGATCCGACGTTGTATTTGTTTGTTCCTCACTTTGCCCTTTCTTTCCACTCACTGTAGCAGCAGCCGCTGCAGCTGCGGCAGTGGCAGCAACTGTCAGGCCCTTAACCCCACCGCCAGCTTTGGCCAAAGCAGCACCCTTGGCAAAAATGGCAATCAAGCCCGCTCCAGCTGCTCTCATAACAATCCCTGCCTTTGCCATGATTCTACAGCCCAGCGCAATCAGCGGCCGAGCAGTGAAATATTATCACAGCTCTGAGAAAAGAGTTCTTTTGCCGTGCACTGTTTCAAGTTAGGAGGCACGCTTGTTGATTAGTACTGTAGGTACGGTCCGAAAACAATCTGACAGGTGCTGCTCCTGTCCAGCATTTTAATTACTCCGGCTGTTTCCACTTCTCAGCACATTGTGTCAAGAAAAGGCACAAAAGCTATGATACGGAAATTGGACGTCGCTTCTTCAGTAGAGCCAGTCTATTTGTGATTAGAACACAACGGCGCCGCGCCCTCAGCAGAAAGCTGCGATAAGGGGCTTTGGACCCTCCTTGAAATCAGCTGTATGGACTAGACACAGTGGTCCAGCTGGTGCATGCGAAGGAACTGCCAATCCTAGTGGGACTTTTGGGATACTACTGCAGATTCTCCAATCACCACTTGACTTTGCAACTCTCTTCCAGTTCTCCTTCCACCTCTCGCGCTAAGCTGAATACCTTTGCCCCTGTACCTTCTGGCAAAGTTCAGCAAGCGGCTTGCCAGGTCCTTCAGGCAAGAGAGAACTAGTAAGGGCCTTCTGCAGAAACAATCAGCGCCAAAAACCAAGTGTGAATACGGCAAGCGTAATTTTGCCCAGCTCCACTGGCACGGGCATCGACGGCTCAAACCTGATTGGTCAATCGGCGCGCGCGCACCAAAAACATTGAATTCGTGGTAGGTAAACGGGGGTTTTGTCCACAGTTCAGCAGTCTGGCCTGTGCCAGCCCACCCAGTCTGGGCCACAGGCGCAGAAATGGAGACAAGCACTCAATGACAAAAGCGGAGCAGTAGGTAGGTGCTTGTTGCCAGCAGAATGGGGTCCAAGTATTGTGGTACGTTGTCTTGATGTACCATCATGGATAGGGATAAACTTTAATAGTAATAAGGAACTTAAGGTACACGAGTACGGGTGGGGTTAGTTTGGTGGTTAGGGTGGGTTCGGGTGCGGAGCAGGTCATCTTGTCCTTAGGGCTTTAGTGTTGGTTAAGCCGAGAAATTGAGTACTTTCAGTACCTAAGATCCTTATTACTATTAGAGTTTATGGTTATCATCATGGTGTGGTCCGAAGAGCTGCAAGCAGCAAAGAGACAAGAGCTTGTACTGAGCTTGCTTGCGTGCACGGGGAGAGGAGAGTGCATAGGTCACCGAGGAAAGCGAAATTGGCGGTCTCTGACCGATGCTCGGCTCTGTGGCACTGTGCACTAGAGGAAAGAATCACCCACTCACCAAAACAAGGAGCTCAGAACGGCCCATCGGAAGAGGCAGTGATCGTGCGTATCTACTCCTACAGTAGTATCTCAAATTCCTTCTTACCTTTTGAAGATGTCGTAAGTTCTCGTTGATCGAGGTGGAGAGCTGCCTTTCTCCGCGAGAGTGCAATGGTATATTGTCCAGCGCGCCAAGGTCAACTTGTGTCGGAACTTTACTTAATAGGCGGCAAATGAGCACCTACAGCTGACCATAGACTTATTGGAAGGTGAGCTGTGACGATTGAATGGACCACCAGAGATTGACAGTCTGCAAAAGTTAGCTGGGGCAGGAGAAAGCTTGTGGGCTTTTCACCCTGATGCAGTTGCTCTGCTTTTTGGGCTTTTGGGGGTGGATAGCTGTGGCATACTTTTTCTTCAGATCAACGGTGCAATGCTGGCTTCTGCCTATACCCATAGAAAGGCAATCCCTTGCTCATTCATAGTAATTATTAGAAGTGTTTCCTGGCAGAGGTAATGCAGCGAGCATTCGGAGCTGCTACTTCCTTATTTTGGTGCCCACCGAGGTTGTGAACTTTCTAAGCATTGAGCAAGCTAGCTCCCAGTTTCAAAGTAGCGTGGACAGCACTGATTGCTGCATCATCTCCAAGAAGGCTCTCTTGATCCGTTGGAAGTACAAAAAGAAAACGTGGATGGCCTCTAACATTTGGAGCCAATATCACGCAATGCTACCCGCCCTGAATGTTGAGATCAATGACGTTGCTTGCTTTTCACCGGATTTCAACTGCCACACTCAAGCAGATCTTAGCTGCATCCAAGTATTCCATCAAATAAGTCGGCTGCCCGTCAGCCGGCAGCTTGCTGAATATTGCCTGGAAAGCTGAGTGCCCTTGCCGTTGACACAAAGTGGGAGTTTCGGATAACCAAAGCCAGCTATTAATTGGGAGATGCTTAAGGATGAATTGTTTTTCTAAAGATTACTCTTTCAGTGAGGTGAATTCAGTCCCAGACAGATTTGTGTCAAAAACATTGTGGATAGTGGTGGCAGATCTCGAACGGTAAGAGATCTAAGCAATTCGTTGATCTTCGTTCTCTGTGCAGGGAGGTCTTGGTCCAGACATGGAGGACGGGACAGAAGACAGCCCCAGCAGCAATGCGCCTACAGAGACGGGGGAGAACTTTACCAAGTGGCTGCAAACCCCAGAACCATATGTGAGTGTTTCGCCAACGCTTGCGCTCTAGCAATTACGGTGCGGTCTGCTTTCTTCATAAATGTAGATGCTCATGCAGTGACAGGTTCTCATTGCAGGGCAATAATGTTCTGGCTCTAAGAAGCTGCTCTTTCTGCCTCTCAGGTCAATGAACGGAGCTCTTCTCCAACGTCTACTTCTTACTCACCAGAAAGCGGCAGACCTTCACGACCCTCCACTGCCCGACAGGTGAGGCTGCGTTCCTTTCAAACAAGTAGCTTTCGTCAGACACATGACGAACTTGGCATCAGGAAGAGTCAAGCGTCAAGCAGTCTCAACCAAGGGTCCCTGACTTTTGATTGCGGGTAGGTGACAGCTGGCATCAATCTGAAAGCGTGACGGCTGCAGGTGTGGTGACGCCGTCCAGCAAAAAATATGAAATAGGACTTCACTTGCTAAACGTTCTGAGAAGATATTGACTGGAACGGGGCCCGCTTGTGACGTCCAAGAGCTGTCGGAACCCATGTGCTGCTTCCCTAAACACCTTGAAAGACCTGGCGCAACTTCCAACGACGACTTACTCCTTCAGCAACCAGAGAAGGACCGCAGGACCGCAGGACTGGTCCTTATCCAATCGGTTTTGGCTGTCTTTCCGTCTCCACCAAGAGTTCCAGCGGCCAGTCTGTTTGAGTCAGCGAAGTCCATCAGTGCGCAGAGTAGCTTCCAACGTTTGTTCCTGTAATTGGCTCAAAAGCGGGTAAAGTTACCAAATGCAGCCTGGCAGAGCTCTCTGGGAAGCGCTCCCCAGCTAATCACTTACAGAATCCGCTCGGAACTGAATCAGGGTCATCAAAACGCTTGGAGCCGAACTTGACTTACACTTACCGCCTGGGACTCGCCTTGACACCATAGCGTATGCTTGTAGGAGGAGGTTCGATGGCCCTCACGCAACCCCCACTTTCGGGCCATCAGCGAGATGGGCTTTTTTGCCTCGAGCATACGCCGGCAGGCCCGGACAGCTGTCCCGGGGTCCCGCCTCCGGGTGACGACCTCCGCGCCGAGCCCCGAAATGGAGGCGTCCATGTCCCGGGTGGCGTCCCCGGTCGCGTCATTCTACGTCGAGGGGGAATATACAGCGCATCTGCACGTGGTGAGTGGCGGCTGCTGATTGGTCTTTACACAGTTCTCGGCCATCGAAGCAGTCTGCTCGCTTTTCCTCCTCGCGTCCCCTAACTTCTTTTGAAAACGTAAAAGGCAAATTTTCACACGCCCGCACTTGGGTTTCGGTCGGGCCATGGCCATCTGCGCCATGTGGAAGGAAACGGCTCTTAATGTGAGCAGGTCCGCTGGCGCCTCTGTCGCTTTTTGTTGGACGACCACGACCTTTTTGTATCGTAGCCCTCTTGCTAAGGTCGGGCGGAAAAAGAGATAGGCATCCTGTTGGGGGAAGAAAGACAGAAAGTGGGTGAACAAACGTCTGATGCCCACAATATGCCGTTTCTAGAAATGACGCTGCCTGAAGGTCCGCTCGATTCTATTCTCCTTCCTGTAAGCCCGTCCACATGTACTTCCTTTCGGGAAATACAACGCAACGTTTTCCAACATGCGTTAAGCATAAGTGGATAATTAGGAAAATGCGTGCAAAAGCACAACTCAGAGTCGCAGCCGTTGATAGCAATCTCCTTTAGCTCAGGCTGGCAGCCCTCGAGCACCGGAGCAGCGTCACCGAGGAGCACTGAATCTTAAGCCATATGATTGTTGTAGACGACGGAGGAGGAGGAGCTGGTGCGGCAGATCGGCGCGAAGCGCTCATTTTTTTGTTTCTGGCGTTTGGTTAGGTTCAGCGCTTATTTTCATCAGACTGAGAGGTACCAAGCAAAAGGGCAGATAACACCAGCCAAATCCGAAGTTGTCCGCGCCATGCATCAGGCAGACGGAGGAGGAGGAGCTGGTCCGGCATCGGCGCGAACTGCGTAACCCTCTAGTTTGACCTTTCAATTCGGTTCAATGCTTACATGAAGCTCGTTGTTCACTTGCGCAACAAATACCAAAATGACGAATAATACCCGCCAACTGTTGAATGGTTTTTGCAGACGACGGAGGAGGAGGAGCTGGTGCGGCAGATCGGCGCGAAGCGCGTGGAGTTCAGCCGGCTGCACGTGCAGCTGCTGGAGAGGCTGCAGGAGATGCAGGACGTGGCGCACGTGCATCGGAAAATGATGCTCGAGCAGGACTGGGCGGAATTTGAGCGGCTGCAGGCGGAGCGGAAAGCCAAGCAGGCGAGTGCTTACGTTAGACAACTTCCACTTTATAGATAGAAAGGAGGACATTTCGACTCCGACGTACTTGAGGACTGGGCAGAGTCAGGAGGCGGGCGCCCTTGGGAACTTAGAGGCTTGCGATAGAAGCTACGAGTACTGCGTCTTCATCATGGAGTCCAGGAAGTTTCAACAGGGAAATGTTTGATGTCAATTTCCGCTGAGTACTCAGCCGATTACGAGCGGCTGCAGGCGAAGCGGAAAAGCCACGTTTGCTCGTACTCACGGCTTTTCAGGGGTGTCTAGGATCTTCAAACGCTTTACTTTCAAACGAAAGAAGTTTTGTATCCTTGATCCTTGGCACGAGTGCGAGCGGCCGCAGACGCACCGGAGAGCCAAGCAGCCAAGAAGGACGGGCGCTCAAAAAAAGGGGTCTTGCTGCGCATGACACTTTTGCAATGTTGAGTTCCGAATGCAGATTTGCAGAACCCTCGGAGCCTTCAGTGTTGCCGACTGAGGTCTCGCGATGTAGACCAAACTAGTGGGACTGCTACTTGGGCTATGGCAAAGCAGGCACCGCTGAAATCACGTATAAGATTTGGAGCTCTATACTCGATCCTCTTAAGATGAAGCTTTAGATTTTCATTATATGCATTTCATACCCTCGTTCCAAGGGCTGGCAAAATCACCGAAGTCAGTCAGCTTGCGACAGCCTCACCCGTGAGAACGGTTGGAGGGATGCTTGAAATTGCAAGCCCACAGAGCCGTGCAACCCCTCTGAGAACTGGACCAGCCTCTCAGGGGTTCCCCAGACCTCAGCGCCAAATCCCGCAGAACGAATCTGCTCAAAAGAATCTAGACGATCAAGACTCAAAGATCCAGCGTTTGCGTCCGCAGGAAGAGTTGGACGGGATTGAGCTGGGCCAGGCGGAGGCGTGGCGCAACAGCACCACTCTGAAGATGCTGCTTAAGAGAATGGTGGACCTAAAGCGGGAAATGCAGGCAATGGTGGCACTTATGCGGGACAGCCGCGCCAAGACGGAGGGGCAGATTGTCGAGACGAACGTGAGTGCGACTGCTAGACCGACTTGCTCCTTTGACATCTTCAGCTCTCTCCAGGCCTGCGTCGCTCTTGGAAGCTCGATTCGACGTACCGTAATCAACGGGTCCAACTTGGTTTTCCCAGCATCACTGTCCGCTCAAAGTTTTAGATGCTGCCCTCCAAGTGTATTTCTTTTCTGTCTGACCCGCTTCTTTGTGACGCCTTATTTTTACGTGTTTATGGTCTGAGTTTGGCCCATTGGATTGTATAGAGCACTGGTTAAGGGCCTCGTTTAAGTCCGTAGCTGACGCTGCAAAGCTCTGTGGCTTACGTCACGAACGTGTCTGCCCGCAGGTCAAGCTAGCAGAGGCTAACCGGGCGAAGCAATTGTCGCTTGAGGAGCTTGAAGAACTGAAGGCTAAGCAGGCGGAAGAACGGGAGCACCGTAAAAAGGTAAACTTCCGCTGCGCAGCCCATCAGCGTCCTTCATCCCTTGATTACCGTTTCATCTCTGATCTGACCCATTAATGCCGTGTTGCGTAATGCATCCGTTTCAACCCGTCCAAAGATGCGGACCGATACTGGACTTCCGGGACCGGCTGCAGCTAGACAGTGTCGCAACTTTTTGCGAGAGAAAGATGTATAGAAAGAGCAAGAACTAAAGTCGTATTGAAAGCCTGTACCCCAAGACGCCATACCAAACAGCTTTTAAACAGCATATCAAAGCTTGTTAGTTCTTTCCACGTCAGAAGCTCGACTTCTGGATAGCATGTTGAAGATCGTTGTATTGACCCTTCTGTTGCAGGAGCTCGAGCATTGCCGACATCAAAGATAGCCGGATCTAGACAGTCTCACAACGCTCGCAAGAGATATTAGAGTGCCATTAGAGCGAGACGATAGTGGTAACGACAGCCTGCAACCTGCCAAAACAAACTCCAAAACCCTTTACACATCAAGTTGAAACCACTTTTACTCATTCCCGGCAGGAGCTCGATTTCCTGCGGTTGGGCATTGCCGACATCAAGGAGAGCCGGATGCGCGAGGTGCGGCGGCAGGAGAAGCAAGCGCAGGTCCTCGCGCGAATGAAGAACGAGGAGAGCCAGCGGAGAATGGAGCGACTGCGGCGGCTGAAAGCGGCGGAGGAGGGCCTGCCGCTCGGGGCGGAAGGGGGGATGGCCAAGCTGGAAGTTCTAGACGAGTAAGTCTGGAAGTATGGTTCTGAATTTCAAACGAGTGGGTCTTGGTTCGAAATGCTAGGTGAGTGAGTCTGGCATGTGGATGCGGAATCCGAGGGTTCTGAGTAATTGCTTCTTCAAGGAGGGCTGCAAGCTTGGGAGCTAGCGCGAACCTGTTGCGAAGCTTGGAGGAAGGGAGGAACTGGTGCTCCTCTTGGAGTTCTATCTTGCACCATAAAGCGTACAATTTTGCACGCAGACACAGCTAGCAACATAGCCATCCGGATGTGAGAATCAGATGTTGCTATAAACAGCGTTGAAGACCAAGGACAATCAAAACATCTTCAGGTTTCCGAAGCCGCACCCGCGAGAGAAGGCCCTGCGAACGTATCAAGTCGCCCAATGGAACTCTTTAGCCCATTCTTTCAGACTTGTTTGTTTCTTGCTTTTCCCCATAATTATAGTCTCCCATGCGGTATGCGAAATATCTTTATGGCGAGTGCCGTCGTTGGCGGCTCCCCCCGTCGTTACGTTAAATCTGCGCAATCATACGCCCTAAACCCTGAACCTCTTGTTTCCTCAGGGCCGCCCTCGCGGAGCGCATTCTGGAGGCGACCGGCGTGAGCGACCCGAACCTGTTCCTGGTTAAGATGCTAACCCGGGACCAGACCCACAGCACGCTGGAGCTCCAGAAATCGCGCGCGCACGACTCGTTCGAGCGGCTGAACCAAACCCTCCAGACCCTCATTCTGCACAAGCGCGAGCTGCAACTAGAGGGGGTTGACGAGGCGTACCAGAAGCGGTCGACGGGCGACATCGAGAGCCGCATGATCAAGAGCGAGGCGCGGCTCACGCGGGCAATCAGGGTTTATCATCAGGTGAGGGCCTCGGGCAACGTCTATCCTCTTCTTCCGGAGGAAAGAAAGAACTTTCTGTCCTTCTTCCTATTTTTATTTCTTATGTATGCTTTTGGAATTGGAGGCGCGCGCGCGATCTGGGTGTAATTCCAACTGAGGGCTAAGTCTGAAAGCTCTCAGAACCCTGGAGACGCAACCCCAGGAGATCTGAGGGTAAGAAGGCTGTCTCGAGTGAGCCGTCAGGATATGAACACTAGAAGAGGGTTTTGGGTTCTGAGACTGTCTCTCAGCAAAACATTTCTTCTTTGAAAACTTACCTTCCCTGTTCAAAAGCTCTGGGTGTTCCAGGACGCCGTTATTTGGGCTGCTGCATACCACTGAGGTAAAGCAAAGAAACGGTAGTTGAAACATCGTGGCCCGCTCGTTACTCAGAGAGGTCTATACAGTCTAACGTGTCCCCTACAGCTAAGAGCTCTCCTCTCCGTGTTTGGTGAAGAAGCGCGACCACATTGGAACTCTTATTTTTATCATCATGACCGCCCACCAAAATCCCTGTTGCCTTATCCAAGCGACTCTTTTAAAACTTTGCAGGCGGTGGAGCTGATCGCGCCCATCCGCAGCGGCCTGGACGCGCTGTGCGCGCGCATTCACCCAGGCTCGGGGCGCGAACCCGAGCGACGAAACTCGATGAGCATCAACGGGTCGATGCTGATGGGCACGTGGGCCGAAACCCCGAAACCCGTCACAGACGAGTCGCGGCAGCTGGAGGATACGCTATCCAAGATGGATACCATAGGCGATAAGCTGGTGAAGCTGATGGAGAGCGTGGATCCGTCCAGCGTCGCGTATCTGGAATCCAATTCGCGGCGACGGTCCGCTAGACACTCCGGTAGCACCACGCCACGTCGCAGCTTTCGGGGCAGCCCGAAAACGCGCGCCGACTCGCAGAGCTTTACGGACCTCTTCGCGCAGTGGAAGCAGTCGGACGATAAGGGGAGACCGACCCGAAAGAGCGACGAAGCCCCTCGGGGGGGTAGCGATCCCACGAGCCGGTCCCCCCCTAGGAGGAGTTCGGAGTACGCCGATCGGCCCCCGGTTGCTCAAAGGAGAAGCTCAGACTTTAGGGATGATCGGAAGAAGGGTCACCAGCGGAGGGCCTCTGACTTCACGACACAGAGTCCGTCCGGAGAGGACGGTCCGAAGCGGAGGAGCGCGGATTCCGTTCGGAAGTCTAGCGAGGCGTCGCGGAGCTCGGACGGAGAACGGAAATTTGAATCGCTTCTTAGTCCCGAGGGCGAAATGGGCACTGCGCGGGGCGTCACCGAAACAATTTTGGAGGAATTGGTGTCGGAAGTCTCGGGGCTGTCAGAAGAAAGCGACGGGAACGTCGAACGGAAGGTGAGGATCTCGCACAGGCGGCGACCGCAAAATGCGGAGGAAGTGATGATGTCGCCGGCGAAGGGAATGAGGTTCGCCGAAGAGGAGGTGACCTCAGAAGACGGGGAGCCGAAACCGATGCGCTCGAAGACGGTGTTGGAGCCGCAGGTGACGATACAGGAACCCGGCCCGCCGTTCAACTTTGAACCGGGACCCCCCGGGAAAGATGCACCAGCCCCCGAGCCGAGTGCGTTGGAGTCGGGGGTGCGGCGCGCAATGCGGCGGCAAATGCTGCAACAGAATCGGGCTGCGGGTTTGGGGGTCGGTATCGATGAAAGAGGTGCGAGAAAGGCGATTCTGCCCGGAACGCGGATGCACTATCCCCCGCCGGTTGAAAAGGTCAACATGCCGAGGTTCAACATGCGCGTTGCAACGCCGGAAGGCGTGCTTGGTCGCCGGCAGTCGCAGTGGTATCGAAGGAGTATGCAGGTCAACGGGGCGGCCGCGGAGGAGGAGAACGCGGCCGCGGACCTTGAGATCGCGCGCCAGCGCGCGGAGTTCAAGCAGGAACTAGAGCGGCTGTCTGCGGAGCTGTCGGAGGAGTTCTCCGACGGCGCGCCCTCGCGGCCGCGGTCGCATCTGCGCGAGCGGCTGAATGGGCTGCTATCGGACGGCGACGAGGACGAGCTGGGGTTCAAGCGCGACTTCGCGTCCGTCGATCTGGTCGCGCTGCGCGAGAAATTCTCGAAGGCCGCGGAACCGCGCAAGGGGAAGAGCCACAAGGCGTTCTTGAAGCGGATGATGCACAAGGCGCGGATGCCGGATCGGCGGAAGGCCGGAACGGAAAACAAGCTACTTGGGCAGTTGGAGATTCCGGGGTTACATTCAGTGTTGAACAACGCGGTGTCGCCCCAGCCGGCCGCGAGGCGGAAGCCACTTTACGAAAAGAAGTCGGAGCTCAAAGGGTATAGCGTGATTACGGAGAAAGAGCAGAAACGGATGATCGAGTTGCTACAGGACGTCCGCAGCAAGCCGAAGCCTCGCAAAGCTGGGAGACGGACGACGTCGCCCGAGATAGCGCGTCCCGCCATTCTGAAAAAGCTGTGAGAGAGTGATAGGAAGCAAGTGCTGACGCCAAGAATGCAACTGAAAGAGTATTGATTGGGCGCTTCCAGTCTCCAACCATCTTGTTGGGCGGACTAACTTCCGATTCGGTCTGAAAACACTTGCAGATTCGTCAAAATCGGAAAACCGCGGTGGAGCTCCGGCGGGGTGTTCTGTTACATTCAAAACTTCCAGATATGGCAACCCGCTGGTTATCATGTTACTTTTTCACGTAGCCAGATATTACTCATGGCTAGCCATGAAGGTGCACGCGATTCCGTGACTTCAATGTCTATGGACACAGCACACATGCCGTATCACCAACAACCTTTTTAATGCGTTTGATTTTGTTACGGCTTACGTCCGCAGCTGAATATCGTACATCGCCCAAAGGCTGTCTTATGGACGTATACGTTGACGAGACGCTTTGCAGTTAGGATGTTGTGGGCCGCTTCTTATGAATTGGGTATATATTCACGGTGCAACCGATCGACTTGGTTTTGCATTTGGCATGCCGACCCGAAGCTTAGCATTACAGAGCACGCGGTATATTAGTCGAGATGCGCCGGGGCCTTCAGCCGCCAGGCGGTCTGCAACTGTTTCTTCCAACTCGGAAATGAGCCATAAACTGCTCAACGAGCAGCGATCCGAATCCGAAAAAGCTAGCAATCTGACCGGCCTGTCATATCCCGAGTCTGGCCGTATGCTTCCATGAGATGATAATAGTGCAAATCCGTTCAACTAAGCCTGCAGAAACGTTCATACGCTCCGCAGCCGTTCAACGCGAAAGTTCGACCATGACAACATGTAAATTAACTGGTCACCAGTCGGTTCCGTCACAAGCATCTTAAAGCTTGAAGGACTGGCCCGCCTGATGTGAAAAGCAGATCATAAGATCAACAGATTCAGGCGGAACGCCAAATCTTCAGAGTAGCTAGCAGAGCACGTGTGAGCGTTATTAGCAGTGGCTGAACTTTATAGAGTGCTTGCACTTCACAACGGATTAGGGCGCTATAGACTCGATCACTCGAACTATACCGGGCACGCGATCGCGAAGCGAGGACTTTCAACCATGCATTGACAGTTCATGATTCTGCGTCTCGCCCCCTCGCGGAGGGTCTAACTGATCGGGCGACCTGAATACAAATGGGACCCTCTCGGAATGTGCCTCTCTACCTGTTCGAAGATGATTCCAAACTCTCTGATGTACCGCCATATCCGGTCATTCAACAATACCTTCTCGTCCGTTGGGCAGATCAAACTCCGGTCGTCGTCGAACGTTTGGCCAGGGACGGTCCAGATTAATACTAGCATAGGATGCATAATTGATAGCAATTTAGCAAACTCTGTGTGCAACAAAGCGTCCATAGTACTAAATGGGCATGCAGCAATGCAAGATAGAATCTTTGCTCCGAACGCGCGGCCGCGTGCAGCAGGCGGCCGCGGGGGCCGAGCAGCGTGCCGGCTCGCGAGGTTGGGAGGGCGAAGCGCCACGTAAGAAAGTCTGGAAGACTCTGAAGAAGTTCTGCCCGTCGAATTGCAAGAGCTTGGTCGTGCTTCGTTGGATGGTCCAGCGGGGCTATCCATTGGCATTGCATTTGCAATGCCATTGTCGAAGTGTTCATGCTTGAAAACTTGGGAGCTTCATTTTCTGGAGCGAGCTCAATGCAATTATGCATTATAACAGTGTAATCAGGATTCAGGGGGCGACTCAATGAAGCAGGAAGGGTGAAGAAGCTGAAGTGTGAAGCTGGGGAGGACGAGATCACCAATCTGGAGACTGCCAGCGCGTGTTGACAGGATGGAGGACGCATTTGCAAAGGAAGTGAAAGAGGTAAGATGCAGATTGAGCGAATGTCTATCAGCCTTCTGTCACTTATAATTATTCTGGCAATTCATGAACTTTCAGATCGTTGCAGATACCCAGAGCAGCGTAAGACCGCTTAGGGGTGAACATGAAGTGCATCCTTTCATTCTATGCACTTTGCTCTTGTGCTTAGTAGTGAATCGTTGATATGACGCTGCCATGTCCGGCTGTTTCCTGCGGCAGAATCGAAGGAAATCACTGCATGCCAGTTGCCAGTATCTGGAAGAGAACTCCCACAATTTTGATTGTTGCATTCGCATCGAGCTCAATGTTAAACCTTTGGGTTCCGACTGGGAGATTTGACCTCTTTGAAAATGAAAGCAGCGGGAAGCCTCAACAGACATAGGGGCTCTTTGATTTTGAGAGGTATCATATTCAAGGCATAGCTTGGTTGTATTCCAACTGTGGGCACTCATCATGTTCTGAAGTAGGTTGGCTGTTCCCCTAGGTCGTAGTCATACAAGGTGGTAGAATGGGATAACAACTGGAGGCCCCATTGTCTCTCTAGGAACGAACTTGTTGGCATCTATGCTGAAGGTCTGCAGACGTATGTTTTAGAGCATGGTATTGATGAGGCACTTTAAACGGGCACAATGACGATCGGTGTGATTGTTCAGACAGTACAGAGCCAACCTGAAATGCTTGATGCCCACCTGACCAATCCGATGCGGGCTGATTCAGATTTAGTATATGTTCCATTGTATGTGTCTTACTTTGCACAATCTATAGAACAGCTTTGAAAATCGTACCCTGCTGTAATTTCGTGTACAAAGCAGCAGTTCAGAGGGCTTTGTTTGGTTTGAGCCAGCCTTGTTTCGATCTGACTTCGCCTGAGAAGTGCCCACGCAAAGGTGCCAAGAGGTCAACATCTTTCAGAAACCAACGCTTGTGCACAAAGTGTCGTTCAAGTGGAAAGCATTGTAAAAGCACGAAGCTGTTCCGCCGGCTGGAAGCAAGGGGAGAAGTGGAATGATATTGGCAATTGTGCCCCCCTGCACCTGGATCTGCCCCTTGAATGAGGAACCCAAAGTTCCGTCCGACAATCTGCACTCTCAACCTGTGACGGGATCTTGCCCCCTTCGTTGATGACCACAATAACAAGCATCCAGGAGAAGGGGCGAAAAAGCTGAAGTTTATCCTTGATCACGAGGACTGATCTCTCTGAGCAGAGAGGACTGATCTCTTTAAGCAGATAAAACAAGCACCATAGGATTGACCATGTCATCCTTCCACAGGTTCTGGCCTTCTTCAACGTAGACCCCACCACCGGCCTGAGCGACAGCCAGGTGGCGCGCAACCGCAGCCTTTATGGCCGCAACGAGATGCCCCCCGAGGAGGGCGTCCCCTTCTGGAAGCTCGTTCTGAAGCAGTTCGACGATTTGCTAGTCAAGATCCTGCTGGTGGCGGCGCTCCTCTCGTTCCTGCTGGCGCTGGGGGACGGGGGCGGCGAGAGCTCTGCGTTCGTGGAGCCCTTTGTGAGTCCATTTGTTCTGACGAGCGCCTATCTCTTGCAGTGCCGATTTCTAAACATATGTTCTGACACTCCATACGTTGAAACTAAGAGTTGGCGTTTCTTCCATTCTTGCGGGCGGTAGGGGGAAGCTGGGGAGCAGAGCTCTTTCACCACTGGGCCCGTTCTAGTGCTATGACTCCAGCTTGACGGATTTTGGCAGGTTGTTTTCCTTGCATCTCTCAGCTTCTTGGCTCTCAAGCTGTGCAATTCCGTTTCACCTTGAAAGCCTACCATTCTGGTCACCGGCCTTCAAGGTCAGCATAAGCATTGCCTCAATGTTGTGCCTCAAGCTCATAGGTTGTCCTTTAAAATAATGGCTTCTCCCTTAAATCTTTGTCCTCTGCCTGGCCCCCTTCTGTCGGCATCTCTTGCATCGCAAGACTTCCCACAAGCGGTTCTCTTTTCTTTCATAAGCGGCCTGCTCACCACCATCTCGTATCCCCCAGGTGATCCTGCTCATCCTGGTCGCAAACGCCACCGTCGGCGTCATCACGGAGACCAACGCCGAAAAAGCGATTGAAGAGCTGAAAGCTTACGAGGCTGATGTGGCGACAGTGGTTCGCAACGGGCGGCTGGCCATCCTGCCAGCTGGAGAACTAGTGGCGGGGGACATTGTGGAGGTGGCGGTGGGGTGCAAGATTCCGGCGGACATGCGCCTTGTGCAGGTGCTCGGGAACCAGCTCCGGGTGGACCAGGCACTGCTCACAGGTGGGGCGTTCTAAGGCTGAACTTTCAATGTTGTGGAAATTCAAGTCTACATGTAAGGCTTGCAGATTCTGGCAGATCCTTGAGATTCTTGGGATCAAAAACACACATTTGACCGTGCATTTCTTATGGGTCCGACGGTTTCGGGGATGCGTCCTGCGGTCCTCTTCCATTTTTCTTCTTGCCGAACCCACCCATTGTTGTTTGGGGATAGTTCTTTCCGAGTTTGCTGTCTCTTAGCTATCCTCACCAGCTACTCACACCTCTCCTTCGAGCTCTGCAATGCAGGGGCTTTCTGCCAGCTTGCCTTCTTCGGCAAAACGAAGCCAAGATCTAAAGGAGTATCCTGGCAGGCCCTCATCGTCACCACATGTGGACCCTGAAGACACATACCCTGAAATTCAGGGGCTCGAAACTCAACCGTTGACGGAAAGCCTATACATTACTGCATCTGAAACCTCGGCTCCTCTCTTCACAGGCGAAAGCTCGTCGGTGTCCAAAGATGTGGCCCCCACAACAACCCCGAAGGCCGTGTACCAGGACAAGCACTGTATTCTGTTCAGCGGGACAGTGGTCACGGTGGGGCGAGGACGGGCGGTCGTAACGGCAGTGGGGAGCAACACGGGCATTGGCAAGATCCGGGGCATCATGACGGAAACGGAGCCGGAGATGACGCCGCTCAAGAAGAAGCTGGACGAGTTTGGGACGTTCCTGTCGAAGGTGAGGAGTCGACAAGCGTTAGCAGGTTCAAGTGTTTTCTTGTGTCATTAGATGCATTGCTGCAAAGCGAGGGGAGTCAAGGGTGCGTCGACAGGAACTTGTTGGCCGGCCCGCTTGCGCACCTTCTCTTCAAATGCGGGGCTCCAACTTGAGAAGAATCGTTATTTCGATACTCGACGCGCACTTTCCAGACGGGATACGAGCAGATCGAACGACGTTTCGGGAGTAGTCAAGGCGGATTTGAAGAGAAAGAAGAGGAAAGCTCCACACAGGCGGTTGGCTGAGCCTTTCTCTTAAACGGAGGCGGTAGTTCCTCCTGGTCTTTAATCAAACCTCAACATCGGTGCTGACTTCCTGCATTTTCAGCCCCACGTCCCTCTTTCTTGATGTGTCTGCAGCAGAAACGATTGGTTCTAAGTACTCAAGACCACATCGGTTCTGAGCAATTAGAATGCTTTCGTTGCAGGTTATCGCAGTGATATGTATTTTGGTCTGGGTGGTGAACATCGGCCACTTTCGGGACCCTGCGCACGGGGGCTGGTTCCGAGGGGCCATCTACTACTTCAAGGTGGGCCGCTCAGAGCACTCGTTATCAGTTGCCGGTTCAAGTGGTGTTAATCAGATATTCTGTGGCCTCAAATAGCTAATTGCCATTCAACATACGATGCATCGTCTTCGCCTATCTTGCCGTCCGCTCTGTGGCTCCCGAACGGCACGAGTATCTTGTACATAAAGATTCCTGTGAAACTTCCCTCGTCTCGTTCCAAGTTGTCGACACCGTCACGGTGCAGTTATTCCGGACCAATGGAACATCTGCTCTTCTGCACGGAACTCCCGCTTTAAGAAAAGCTAGTAGTTTCGATGTTCCAAAGCTGTTATTCGCCCCCCTCCACTTTGTGTCGCTCTTGCAGTTGCTGCCGTTCCCAAGAGCTTGCCCGCCGTGGTGACGACGTGTTTGGCTCTTGCTTTCTTCTTGCAGTCGTACAGCGCTGCTCGTGTAGAAACCTTCCACCAGCCCAGTTATGCAAGACTTTACTTTCCATCTCTGAATTGCTGTCGCCATTACGGTTGCCGCTTCGCTGGAGGGCCTGCCCGCGGTGTTGACGACGTTGCCTGGCGCTTCACCTGTTTAATTTTGGATCCAACATTCAGCAGTACCGAAGCTTCAAATACCATTTTTTGTTATCTCCCTAGATCGCCGTCGCTCTAGCTGTTGCCGCGATTCCAGAGGGCCTGCCCACGGGATTGACGACGTTGCCTGGCGCTCGTCTAGTTATCTTTGAATTGAAATCTTTCAGCAGTGTTAGAAGCTTAAATGCAAATCTTTCCTTCTCCCTGGATTGCCGTCGCTCTTGCGGTTGCCGCGATCCCGGAGGGCCTGCCCGCAGTGGTGACGACGTTGCCTGGCGCTCATCTACTCATCAACGAATCGGGCAAATTCAGCCGTGTAGACGCCTAAAATTGTGGCTTTCCTCTTCCTAGATCGCCGTTGCTCTCGCGGTTGCCGCAATTCCGGAGGGCCTCCCCGGGTGGTGACTAGGTTGCACCGCGCTCGATACGTTATTCGTTAATCCAATAATTAGCAGTGCCGAGCTTAGAAACGTATCTTTTCCTCGCCCTAGATTGCCGTCGCTCTCGCGGTCGCCGCCATCCCGGAGGGCCTGCCCGCGGTGGTGACGACGTGCCTGGCGCTGGGCACCAAGAAGATGGCGCGCCTGAACGCGATCGTGCGCTCGCTGCCGTCGGTCGAGACGCTGGGGTGTACTACGGTCATCTGCAGCGACAAGACCGGCACGCTCACCACCAACATGATGTCCGTCGCAAAGGTGAGCTTTGGGGTACTATCCAGTCAAAACAACTCATGGACCCGGTTTCAGTTGCATCTTTTCGTTTTGAACGATACCTGGATCAATCCAGTGGGTATACTGCAGTAATCAGCAAAAGGGAGACGCGACAAGCATACAGCAGAAGTGATTGGCAGACGGCGCTGGATAACCATACCACAAAAGCGTGCTGCAAATCAACACGAGGTCCATCGCAAAGGTCAGCGTGATCGATAACCGGTCCGTTCCAGAGCTGCCATTTCGAGGATTTGGTTCTTGTGCCGCTGCAGGTCTGGACTCTTTCTGGCGCACAGGGAAGTAAGCCGGCGCGATCCTCTCAATGTTGCTCTGGGACTTGGCACCAAGAAGTGTGTACCAAGTCAATTTTCCCTTGTCCAAATTCGTAAGTGTCAAAGTGAACCCTGCTCTGACGAGTGAGATTTGCCTGCCAGGTGTGCGTCGTGGGCTCCCCCTCCAAGGCCAGCCTTCACGAGTACAGCATCACGGGCACCACGTACGCCCCCGAGGGGCTGGTCATCGACGCCTCAGGCGTGAATGTGCAGCGACCAGCGGCCCTGCCCAGCCTGCTGCAGGTCGCCCTCTGCTGCTCCCTGTGCAACGACAGCACCGTGCAGTACAACGCCGAGCGAGGGACGTACGAAAAGGTGAAGTTTCTCTCTGAGAGGATTTCGCGATCTCGTGACCTCTGGTTCAGGGCTTGTCAGCAAGAGATTGTCTCCTTTCAAAGTATTATACTGGCAAAGTTTCTGAATCACTGTGTAACAAGCTGCCCTTGGTCAGAAGCTGTTATGTCAGAATGGAGGTGGCTTAGCTCCGGCGGGGATCTGACACTTACCCAGTCTGGTCCATTCTGTGAGGACCTTTGATGGAGACGACGAGCGTTGTTGCCTGTTTTGAGTCCCCGGTGAGAAAAGTTCCTCAGATCAGTGCGGAAGAGGGTGTTGAGTACTTGGTCTGGTTTTCAGAGGCACTCTTAAACCGACCAGGCCAAGACATGCGCCATATCCAGAGAAATCAGATCGACGGAAAGACCTCATAAGCAGGTGGGCGACGGCACGGAGATGACTCCGCGTGGGTAGCTAGGAAGTTGGGCCTCCAAACAGCAGTTGGTCAAAGGTGTCTCACCGGCATCTTGCTCGTGCACCTATTTTGAAATGTGGGGAGCAATTCTTTGCAGGTGGGCGCGCTGACGGAGGTGGCGCTGCGCGTGTTGGCGGGAATGCTAGGCTTGACAGACGAAACGCTGGTTGCAGCCAGCAGAATCTTGTCTCTCATATCGACTCAAAAACTAGAGCGAGGGAACTAAGCGCAGGTGGGCGAGGCAAACCGGAGGCGGCGCTGCGCGTGTTGGCGGAGAAGCTGGGCCTTCGATTGAAAGTTGGTCAGAAACTATCTTATTGCCATCTTGCTCTTGCACCTAGCTTAACAAAGTCACAACGAATGGAACGAGGGGACTCTTCTTACACAGGTGGGCGAGGTGACGGAGGTGGCGCTGCGTGTGCTGGCGTAAAAAGCTAGGCCTTTCTGACGAATCGTTGGTGCTGATTTGGAGGCAGCAGAACCTCGTCTCTCCGTGTCGAATTCGAACTAGAGCGAGAGATCTTATTCAAGTGGGCGAGGCAACGGAGGTGGAGCTGCGCGCATTGGTGGAGAAGCTGGGCCATTAGCCAAAAGTGGGTCAAATTTCACATTGAGATGGTTTTTAACAGGCATCTTGTTTGTGCGCCTGAGCTGGCAAAGCCATCAATACTGAAACGAAGAAATTCTCCCTACACAGGTGGGCGAGGCAACAGAGGTGGCGCTGCGTGTGTTGGCGGAGAAGCTGGGCCTGCCCGAGTACGGGAGCATGCCCCACTCGCTGACCATGCTGAGCAAGCAGGAGCGCAACGCATTTTGCAATAACTACTGGGCTGCGCTCTACCCCCGAGTGAGAGTGCCCCTCGTTGTGGTCGTTTCGGTCTGGCAGCACTTTTTGAGTAGCATGAGTATCAATTGTGCTGGGCATCTTGCCTGTTGGTCAGGCCTTGTCTTCTCTCACGAGCTGTTTATGGATGCTCAATTCGTGTCTTGTTGCTTAAAGAGGGCGTATTCAGACGCATCTGAAATTCGCGACTGGGAAGCACAGAACACCGCATTTTCGGTCGGCGCGAAATTTCCAGACGTCATTGCTGCAGCAACGTTGACCTGGATTTTTGCCGCATTGGGATCGCCGCAAACAGCCACGTGGGCTCCTTCAACCCCAACGCCCTCTTTAAGGGACTGCTAGTCTTTGTCTTTGCTAAGGACCCTTGGCGGGAGTCCAGTCTCAACTCAACAACAAGGGTTTCCTGCTCCCATTTTGCGCCTTTTTGCATCGCTCTCTGATTCAGTAATCAAGGTTGCGCGGTCTCAGAGTGTCAATTCAATTCCTTTTGGCGGCCCACTTTTTGCTGACCCCAGCCTCGTACCTGTTCAGATTGCGGTCCTCGACTTCGAGCGCAGCCGCAAAATGATGTCCGTCCTCTGCTCCTCTCCGGGGGGGTCCGTTCTCCTCACCAAGGGCGCCCCCGAGGCCGTCCTCGCGCGCTGCACTTACGTTCTGTGCAACGAAAACGGAACCTCCGCTCCGCTGACGTCAGAGCTCCGAGCTCAAGTTCAGTTGAGACTCGAACAGTACGGGCAGCACGAGATGCTCCGGTGTCTGGCCTTGGCATTCCGTTCCGTTTCCGGCGGACAGACGTCGCTTTCCCCGGCGGACGAAACGGGGCTCACGTTCGTTGGGCTGGTCGGGATGCTGGATCCGCCCAGGGAGGAGGTCCGTTCCGCCATCGACACGTGCCGTTCCGCCGGAATCCGAGTGATTGTCGTCACGGGAGATAACAAGGCGACCGCCGAGGCGGTGTGCACACGGATCGGGGCGTTGGACCCGTTCGATGAGTCGGGCGGAAAAAGTTACACGGCGGCGGAGTTTGAAGAACTGTCGGGAAACGAGCGGGCTTCCGCGGTGCGAAGTATGGTGCTGTTCTCGCGCGTCGAGCCGCAACATAAAAGCATGCTGGTGGATCAACTGAAGATGCTGCAGGAAGTGGTAGCGATGACGGGGGATGGAGTGAACGACGCACCGGCGCTCAAGAAAGCGGACATCGGCATTGCGATGGGGTCCGGCACCGCGGTCGCGAAAGGCGCGTCGGATATGGTGCTAGCGGACGACAACTTCTCGACGATAGTTGCGGCGGTGGCGGAGGGGCGGGCGATCTATAACAACACGAAGCAGTTCATACGCTATATGGTCTCGTCGAACATTGGGGAAGTCGTATGTATATTCGTGGCGGCGGCTCTAGGGATGCCCGAGACGCTCATTCCGGTTCAGCTGCTTTGGGTTAACCTGGTAACCGACGGGTTACCGGCGACGGCGCTGGGGTTCAACAAGCAGGACCGGGACGTGATGATGCAGAAACCTAGGAAGGTGAGACCGCGTGTGACGAAGCAAAGGTTCGCAAGGGACCCGCCGGTGCTCAAAGCAGTTTCAACATCGCGATTACCCCTCCTCGTTTTCCTTCGCTCGTTTGTTCAACCACTTGCTTGGGCTTTTCATGTCCATCCGTTCAGGTGCTGGAAGGACTGAACAATTTTTGTAGAGGACTATTCAACAACCTTAACAGTCGCGATGCATTCATACACCAACCTGGCTCGCCAGTCAAATGGTAGTGTAGTAGCTTTGAGCCACCTCCTTCAGACCTCATGCTTCCAGAACGCAGACAGCGGCTATTTCCTTGAACTGTGCAATGTCTAGGTAATGTCTCAAAGTCCTGGCAACATCACCATTCGCGAAAGGATCGGCTGCTGTGGTCTGACCAAGCTTCAATGGAGAGGCTCACCTACAACCTTAGGTTACGTTAAGGGTGCTCCTCTAGAGCGTCAATCTGCCGCCTCAAATTCTCTCGGAAGGAGACCCCTCAGCGCTCAAGTTTGTGACCTCGTGCGCAGATGAACGAGTCCATCGTCAACGGCTGGCTGTTCTTCCGGTACCTGATAGTCGGGATCTACGTGGGGCTGGTCACGGTGGGGGGTTTCGCCTGGTGGTACCTCTACTACTCCGGGGGGCCGCAAATCACCTGGGCGGAGCTGGTGAGTGTTTCCCCCCGATAACAAATACCTCTTATCAGCTTGACTCGATCTTAGGCGACTTCGTCATCCAGGTTGAATGAGATCGAATCATCATGGCGATTGTCTGACTGTGCGCTTACAAACCGCTTTTGCATTACCTCTTGCTCTCTCTGAAGCAAGCGTTATGTAGCTACGGCTCTCTTTTGTCTCACGCTTCTGATTCTTGGTTGGCGCAACACAAAGCCGTCGCCCACTCCCAACCAAACAATGCTTAGCTATGAAGCTTCGCCGGTGTACATCATGTCCATTATCGAAGACTTAAATTGCCGCTCACTTCCTCCTTGTCCTAATAGTACTCTTTCCATTCTCTTGCCTTCGCAGACTCTTCCGTCTGAGGATTACGCTCACCCGTCTTGCAACATGAACAATTCTGGTTGTAGCCTTGCGTACACTTGTACTTCAATCGATCAACAATATGACGGTTTCTCGTGCGCAGACGTCGTTCGACCGGTGCGTGGAGGGCGAGGTGCGGTACTCGTGCGGCATCTTCTTGGACCGGCGGCCGTCGACCATCTCCATGAGCGTGCTGGTTACCGTGGAAATGTTCAACGCGCTCAACAACCTCAGCGAGAACCAGAGCCTCCTGTGAGCAACCTGGTGGTCGGACTGTGAATGTTTCAGTGTTTGCATTTAGGGTTGTGTTGGCCTGCCTTCTTGGAAATGCAGTGTCGTCGTCGGATGTCAAACACAATCCACTCCTTAGAAGCGGCAAGTTTTCGTGCCGGCTCTTATTTTCCGAAGGCAACTCTCAGCTAGTGCTCTGCGACAGCGTTCTGGTTAATTAACGTTTTATGGAATTAAGTGTTCTCCTTTAGTGCACTTCCGCTTCAGAGACATCAAATCCGGCACTTAATCGGCACTCCCTTGGCACCGCCGTGCCGAACGCTGCTACTTCTGAACGGACAGATCAACGCTTTAACCCGTGCAATCTAGTTCTTAACGTTTCGTCAGCTCCCCCAGCATCATTTCCCCAGAGCTGGCTCTCTCTCTGTGTAAGGTATGACGCAGGGCCCCTTTCTTGACGAGCAGAATTGGCGGAGTAACATCTGACGACAATGACCTAGCTTTCCCCTAATATTTGAAGCCTACTAGGGCAATCGCTTTGTCTGCAGAGTGCTCCCCCCCTGGAGCAACCTGTGGCTGCTGGGCGCCATCGCGCTGTCGTTCCTGCTCCACTTCTTCATCCTGTACGTCCCCTTTGCGGCGACCATGTTTTCCGTGGTCGGCCTCAACTTTGCCGAGTGGCAGGCCGTCTTCTGGCTGTCCTTCCCGGTGAGCTGTGGCCGCTTCTTCTGGGTTTTTGGGGTTGAGGATCATTGATTTGTACAGGCTGCATGTGGATTTTTGCTTCGATCAGCAGCCTGGGACTCGATGCGGTCGTGATTAAATCGTTGCCGCCAACCTGTCATCTTAGATTGGGAAGGTTTTACAGCATTAGAAAAAGATTTTGCAAGTTGCGCTTTTTGCAGTCTTGGGTCCACTGCATCAGTCCGTATGAAAGGAGAGAGGAACGGGGCTCCGCTGTGGTCTTCAAAGCTTTGGCCGTGCTATTCGTTGTGTCCGCCCATGTCTTCGTAGTCATCTCTCAAAGATGAGGGGGCGTTGGCGTTTGATTCTTTCCCGAAAACGTCACTCGCAGGGAGCAATTGAAAGTTGCCTCGGAAAGGACCTTATATTTGGTTCTTGCCAGGGATCGCCGTGCTTGTTCTAGCCAGACCAATTGCTGACGTGAGAACTCTTTGTGCTGGCAGGTCATCATACTCGACGAGATCATGAAGCTGCTATCACGAAGAGGGGCGGGTAAGTTTCGCAAACCCACTCGTCTGCTGGTATCCTACCGATACGGCGTTTCGACGATCTTGAGAGTTTAGGTCTTGATCTTGAGAAACAAAATGCAGTCAGACGCTGAGGCGAACATACCCCTAGAACGACTGAGGTTGCGAATCACTGAGATCTGGACATTTCACATTGTTGCCTGATCCTTTGTGGTTACCCGGAGCTTCGCAATCTGGTTCGTTGTGACGCCATCACGCTGCGTACAACAGCGCTCCTAATTAATCTCAAAGCGACCTCAAGATGGCTCATTTCATCCGTATATCGGAGTTGTTGAAAACGGATTGAACGTTGGATCCTGGTTCAACCTGCTCTAATTAGCAGACACCAGTCTCGTCTCTTGCCAAATGCGATCCATCCCGAAGGAGAGTCCTCTCTGCTCCTCTTCCCCATTGCCGAACGGATGTAGAATCTCCGATTCAGTTCGTTCGAGGCCGACTCCATGCTTTTTTGCCTCAGGTTGGAACCTCCACTTCCAGGATTAGCAACGTTCACAAAGTATTCCGCTGTCAAATATTTTGCTCAGTCCGCTTAGTCCTCCTGATCGTCTGCAGGCCACCGCACCGATTCCTTGCGTGCCATGCTCACGCCGCGGCGCAGCAGCCGCGGCAAGTTTTTGCTACCCACAACCACGAGAGAGCACCACATCGCGTGACGTCACCTGTCTCGCATGACGTCACCCCGTGCTAGGAACTAACGCGAGAGGAGATTCCGAGAGCGGCACCACTGACCGGCATGCTTTGCGCTTGCAGGTAAGCACGCTGGCTGCCCGTTACCTGTCCCAAAAATAACGTCGTTCAATGCAAGACTGGAATTGGTTACATTCAAAGTCTGACGAGCCTTGATTCCTCTGCAGTTGTCGCCTCCAAGCCCTGACCTTGGCAGAGTGCCGCCTGTCATAAGCTCGCGCAGGTTGAGCGAGTCAACCAACCGTTACAAGCCTAGTCGATATTCTGGTATTCTCAACGTTCTGACTCTTGGATGTATATTTTTCGCAGGTAGATTTGCGACATCAAGTAGGCGAAGCGAACTTCGACTGACAGAGCTCATCCCTCTGACCAGCGAGGGCAGAGAAGAATAGATGGACGAAAAATGACGGACAATCGTCCGAGCAACTAACGTCTGATAGCTGAAGTAGGTTCTGTACAAGTGCGGCTGAAGTATCATCTTTCAAGAGAAGTTTATTGACGTTCATTCAGCTTCAAAGGTGTCAAGGACGGTTCACCCTTGTGGTGCCAGCATCTGGTCACATCTCATAGCTCGCTGAATGTCTGGACCGCCTTGCATGACTTGTCCACATTTCCAACCACGTGTTTGTATATTTGACGACGGCTGGCGTTTGGAGCTCTGGTATCCCTGTTCCACAGTTTCTCATTAATCATGATCAATAACAGAAGCCTGGCTTGAAGGCCGTGCTGGAAACGGCGGCTCTGACGAAGGCCTAAAATAGTATGATCACTATCTACAATGAAAGAATTTTATTGAGCATACCCGAGCCTGAGTCGCATGGGCCAGTTGAACTTAGCCGGGTAGGCGTATAGGCTGCAGTACCGCCTGGCCTGCATCGTTTGCCTACTACTATAATCCCAACATTGGCAACGGGTCACATGGTGGCGGCAGCATCCATGCCAGGCCAGTGCAATGATGTGCAGTTGCAACTCACGATGCCGCCGCCTGCGTGGAATGTGCAAAAGCATCCATATTGGAGTGCGGTACATGCATGTCAGGCTTCGTATTAACCACCATGTGTTACTGGCCCATGGCCCGCGACAATATCGAGTCTGTCATGCAGGGCCTGCATGATCGCTCAATCTCCAGCATTAAGCATGTATGTACGGCCAACATACTCTTTTACAAGTCATGATTACTTACGTACATGCTATGCAGAAGATCCATATTCGAATTGACGGTCCTATACCATGACTCTTGTGCCTACTTGTCATGGTGTAGTCACGGTGTCAATGTTAGCCAAGCTCGAGCAGCATCCGACATGTGCGACAAAAGCTACAATATTCAGGCCCCGCTTGAGTGCATTCACATGGCGAGGTTCACGTGCAAGTTGGTTCATGCAGAAGTCACCGGGGATAGGAGGGCTTGGGCATTTCGTGTTGACAGCGCATGTACGTGAGGAAACGCAGACAATTGCTGCAAACGTTGAGAAAGCGGATTGCACGGACTGACCAAGACGATCAATCGTGATGTGAAGCTCCGAATCCATAGACGTGTGGGGTACATTGCGGTTGTCAGTCTTGCATGTCCTTAGGGAGTTGGCGAGAAGAACGGCATGAGGACACTCTCACTACCCCATTCGAATACGGACTCTTTTCCCGGATCAGCTGATGCAACTATCGTACGGCGTAAAGGTTGCCTACGGTTGCGCAACGCAGTGCGGCTTGTGCCCGGCCCATGCTGCTTTCTGGCAGCTAGCACTGCAGTACTTCACCTTCTTACACCGAGAGCACTGCTTCAGAACCACTCCACCCTGTTCGTCGCCCCCCCCAAGCCCACAATTAGCACACGTATCAGTCAATCTCGCTGTTCCCCCCTCCGTCGCTTCGCTGCCATACCCCCGCTGTCCGGGCATCTTTTCCCCCCCCGCTTGCTTGGCCTTTCCCGCACCCCCCTGCCCGGCGCTCCGTCCTCCTTGCCCACGATCCGCCAGAGTTGGCCGCCCCTCCAAAGCTTGCGCAGGGGGATCCCTCAGATGGGCGCTCTCCTTTTCCAGCGACCGCAGCAGCTCTTCCATGCCCGGCCCGTCGCCGTCTCTGCCGAGGACCCGTTTCTTCTCCTCCCCAAACACCGGAACCACGTGGCTTGCGCGCCACTCGGGGCCTTGAGTATGCGCCACTTGCCAAGCGGACGGCTTGCTACGTGTCGCGTTCTTCTCCAGCATTGTCCGCAGAAGCTCCAGCTCGGCGGACGATACCAGCACTGTGTGCCATTCCGCGTGACCGCCGACGCTGTGCATGGCTGCCGTGAACCGCTGGACGGATTCCATGCCCACGATCTTGCCCGCGTTCAAAAGCGCGCGGGCTTGTGCATGATCGGCGTATACGAGCTCGAGCAGGGGCATACCCTTTGCTGTTTTGCGGAGCGACTTGATGAAGATCGACAGACGGGCCTCGTCTTCCGGTCCGTCGCTCTTCAGCTTGATCGCGTGCCGTTTGTACCCGTCCCGGAACGCCCGCACGAACAGAATCTGCAGCGTCTCTCGCAGATCGAACGAGGGGGACCGGTTGGAGTCTTGGTACTGCGTGCCCCGCACTTTGCTCAAAGACTCCTCTAACGTGAACATGAGCCCCAGGACTGAGCTCAGGCCCCCGACGTCTGTTGCCGGCCACACGGGAAGACTGCCGATGTCGATCTGGGAGGCCTTGTTTTGGCCCGAGGCGTCGGACGGCCAGTGGGCAGACTTGGGCAGCGTGCAGCTAACGAGGCCTCTCTTGCGGGAGATCTGGCAGCGGGCCTTCGATGCGTCCACGGGGTGTAAGAAGCGCAGAGACGCCGCAAACCTGAACACGAGACAGGACACGTCAATCAGCCAAGAACTTTGAAGCCTGGGGATTGATTTCCAAGGGGTCAGACACATGAGGGATACTGCAAATAGCCCGAACACGCGAATCGATATTGGCGGGAAAATCAAGTCGCAGTCGCAGTCGCACTTGCATTTGTCCCCATGAATGTCAAGTTTGCACGCCGAGATCCAACAACTAGGTGGGGCACAAAGCATCGAAAGTGACCGCAAACGTCGCAGACCATCGCACTGAGATGAAGTCTGTTGCCATGTTCATCAATATCAAGGCTCGAGGCTTTGAAACATCAAAAGCTTGAAACATCCGAAAGCGACCAAGCTTTTATTAAGCTCTAACTGAACCCCGTCCGGTCGTTTTGCGTCCATCATACCAACTCTTTGCCGACACAGGTATACCTATATCCAGACATGCACACTGCTAGACCAGACGAAGAAGGCGCCACTTACTCTTCTGCCTCCCCGAGCTTTACAACGATTGCGTGACAGCTTTTCCCTTCAGCCGAGTCGGCACCACGAACCTCGAGCGCTCCTTTCGATCCGGGCGGGAAGCGAAGAACTGCCACGTAGTGGTCCGTGTACTCGACCACGGCGGACACCTGGACGATGCAAAAGGCGCTTAAGTGTTTCAGTGGAACGTCAGATACTTACGACCATAGAATGTGCTGACGTTGAAAGGCATGGACGGTTTGAGTTGCAAGACCCTGTCAAGAAAGTAGTAGCGTCTGCCGGAACTGTCATACGCCCGGACTCAGGAGGTTCAAGACCTCCAAAAATAGGGGGGTAGAAATGCGAAGGCAGATGCAGTGCCGCAGTCTTATTAAACCGTGCGGCCGTATGATTCGAAATCCTGTCAGTTGCCTGTCAAGATTGAGGATTTTGTACTCTTATGCGGAACAACGCGCAACCCTGCAAACGGATGTAGAGTTGCCTTGGTATTATTGCCCAACAGCCGCCACTTAGCGCAGATTAGTTCTTACCTGAAGGTCTGACGCTCCTTGCTGGAGGTCAGTCGCTTCCTCTCGAGACGCTCCCACACTCTGCGCAGAGCTGAGTCCCTCCGACCCAAGCTCGAAAGCACACGTCCGGAAGTCCGACAGTTTCTTCGGTGCGTACAGCGGAAGCAGGCTGTGAATGTCCGCAATGACTGCCCACGTGTCCTCAGCTTTCAGCCCATGGTCCGACTTCAGGAGAAACGACAGGCGGGGCTCGTCACTGTCGAGAACAAAGCTGTCCAGTATGTGAAGTGAGCGCGTGTTGGAGTCGGACTTAAGAGCATTTAAGAGGAGGGGGGCCAAACTGGCTGAGTCCTTGAGGCGGGGGAGCTTCTCCACGAGAATGAGACGCAGCATCGGCATGCTTCTGGTGACTCCGTGGAACATGCTGCTTAGGAGGTCTTTGTCCATCAAAGACTCAAAGACCGTAACAGATGGCGACGGCCCTGCTTCTGAAGCCAAACCCTTGTCGCTAGCCTTTTCTTTCTGCAGAGTCAGAGTCGCTTGGAGGGTGTCCCATCCTAGTTGGAACAATTGATGCGTGTCACCAAACTCCTCTGCGCTCAGAAAAGTCTGCGCTTCAAGTGCAGAAGCCTGTTCAAGGACCCTCCGCTCCGCCATGCGCTGGAGATTGAGGACAGCTGTCAGTGGCGTCACCGCGTCCAAAGCACAGCTGGCGCTGCCCGCTTCTTTTGTGACCACGATCTTTGGGCAGCACATTCTGTAGACACCACCGAGCGATGCGCCGACTCCGCAGGGCGCCGGCAGCGGTCCCAATGCTTCGATCGCTGGATCTGTTTCCGAGAGCAGCTTGAGTCGGGTTGTTGCGTTGCCCAATCGGGTCTTGCCACGTGGCAGCTCAGGGACAGCCCACTCAAGGATCTGCTCGTCGACGGAGGTGCCCACCATACCTAAGCGAGTGGCTAGAGTTGGGGGGACATGGCTCCCCATCTGGAAGGTCAGTCACGAGCCTTAACCCGAGGATGGAAGGCGCCATCTCAGGGGGGAAACTCAGAGCGAGGTCCAGGTAATCCGGAAAGGTGGAGGCGGCAGCAGGCCATGTGATTGAGGCGGTGTACAGGCCGGAGTTGGAAGACCTGTAGGTGCATTGGAGAAACTGCTTACGAATGGCCTTTTGTCAGGAATAAAACGGAAAAATGAAAATGAAGAGATGGAGATATCACAGGAGGCAAGTTGTGCTTGATACGAATTCTCGTTGCTGCCAGCTTAGGGTAATTACAACCTGTACTCTTCCAGGAAGACTGGATCATTGAGCTGTGATGGCCGGGAAGCAGCTTACAATTGGCCTACCCGCAACGGAGTGCTCGACACGATCAGCAACAAAGGCATGCACCCAAGATAACCAAGCCACACTCAAATAGAGTTGAAAGATCAATTCCATGTTAGCATGCAGCCAATCAGATCATTTGGCTAAACGGCCAGGGTCTTGGAAATGAAGGCACAGGGAGAATGGCAGTCATCCTCACTGGCCGAGTTGTTCCGACCAAAGTGAGGCCCAGAGTGTCATTGCCCTTGGTTAGCATCTCCCTCGCCTTTTCCTTCCACAGTTAGAAACAACATTCTCCGTCAGCAAAGTCACCCAGAACAAGGTGTATTCAGAAGTGCAGTCTGGGGCGGCTTACCGTTTCAGCAAGGGTGCGGCGCCCACTAGCAGGTTCAGCAGCCCCACATGGTCGCTCAGATTGGACGTGTCGATGGCGTCAAACTCTGCAACACCTGGCATCTCGTACAGGCAGAGCTTGATCGCGTCCCCCGGCCACAGCCAGACCCTCAGGCTCTCCCCCCAGGCCTGAAATCCCGTCACCTGCGCCTTCAGATGTCCCTTGCACAAGGTCACCAAATATTGTCCATGGAGCGCTCGCTTCTGTGCTTCTTCCATTGACTTGGCACCTAGCGGGAAATACGCAAGGAAGGGGCACGAACCGTAATGCACGTGCCAGGCTCGAGTTTCGGGATCGAGCAGCGTCGGGTTGAGAAAGGGCCTCTCCAGCTCTCCCGCTGTGCTCCCCGTCTGAAAATACTCTCGACATTCATTCACAGCTCGGCGCTCCAAGGCGCCGTTCCTCTCACCCAGCCCCTCGAAAACCAGCATTGCCATTGAGGTCCCACAACCGTCAATCAGCTCGTCCTGCTCTTTCTGGGGCCTGAGAAGCGGCATCGCCTGACGCATCATGCTGGGGGGATCGAGTTGCCCCTTCCCTTGGGCCCCCACCCGCTCCAGGTTTCTGAGCAAGTTTGCGCGCCGCTCCTGCTTCACGGCATGCACTGACGGCAGCTCCGAAGTCTTCAGCCATTGCCTCCAGATTCGAACCAAGGCACTGCGGTCCTCTTCTCTTGTGATGTTGACAAGCTGCCCCCTCCCGCTCTCCTCAAGTAGCTTCTGTATTTCAGAAAGTAGGCGCAATGGTGTGGCTTCGACAGTGCCATGTCGTACCACACCGCCCAGAGAAAGTCCAGGTCGGCGCTGACGTCAGGCTCGATGGAAGCGCAGATCTGAAGCAGGAGCGCCGCACGAGCCATGACCACTGGATTGATGTCATTCAAGTGGAAGTTCAGAGCAGAAGTAGTAAAACCGCCCCCAACTGATTTCTTCACACGGGTGGCGACAGCTGGACTTGGCTGTCGAGGGATCCCTTCCGCAGCAGTTGCAAGCACGTTTCGGATGTCACCGCAGCCCAAAGAGAGAATGCTGACCGCCGGCGCTTCTTTGCATTGCGCCTCCAACAGACTTCTGCCTTTCGTGTTGCCAATGAGGTACCACATTGGGTTGTTCTCCAGCAGAATGCGGCGCACAGCGGAGGGGAGGAGTCTGGCCGCCATGTCGTTGCAAAAATCAGAAACCTTGTCCAGAGAAGGGCGCCACTCCTCGATAGCAATGCTGCCTTCAAGTTGGCCAAACTTGGCAGGGCATGGGGACTCATCCAGGATTCCAACCGTGGGCATGTGACATTCAGGCCTCAGCTAGCCAAATTGGCAAATTGCCCAAGCTCATGGATGGAAGGCGACAGTTGGCTATCTGTCCGCCGTTCGACGAGATCCGAGTGGTTTATCGTACGGGTCAAGTGCTTCAGGAGTCCACGTGACAACGAAAGTGCCAGCTTGACTGCAGACTCTGCAGAGGTGAGGGCATAATGATAGGACCTGTTGCTCATGAGAGTTGATGCGAGGAAGTTCGCTCACATGTCAATGTCATTCAAATTGTTCAGTGCTTGCCTTGATCCTGTTTCAATGTTTGAGAGGGATCAACTCTAGAACCGCAATGGCCCTCCATCTGGCTAGCTCACAAAGTTAACTTTCGCTGCAGCACCATGTCTCATTGTTGCTGATCTGCACTGCCTGCTGCCATGGCTCACTGTTTGATCAGCCACGGGGCTGCATTGATCCAAGGATCAGCTCTTGGCATTGCTGGCAACTCTCATTGGACCCTGAAGACGGCATTGTTTCCTGATGTTTTGCCAAAGACAAGTCTTTCTCAAGACGCAGCAAGTCTGGGCAGCCACCATGTCAGATATGCCAGTGAGCCCAGAAACGCGAGCACCTTTTGTAGCAGAGTTCTAGTGGGTCAAGTGCAAGGAGGCAGGAACTATGCATGCAAGCCTTCTGAGGCTCTTAGAGTTTGCCATCGCACCGCTTCAGTTGCCCGCCGATGCAAGCACACTAGATCAGCCGAACAGCGGTGTTCAAGGGATTCATTACATCAGGATCATGATGAATCCCCTACTGTGTTGAAGTGCATTGCTCACTGGGGCGTTGCAATTGCGCTCAGCTTGTCAATCGCATTGGGCAATCCGGATGAAGCAATGGCTGCCCCACCAATGAAAGGACCTGATAGTAGAGAATTGCTTGAACGGGGTGTCATTAAGGGCCCTGGTAAGTCCAATTCTCCGTCCCTGGCTGCATTGTCGTGTGGGCGCAACAAACCAGGACTGGCAGCGACCACCTATGCTAAACTGTGGAGCATCCGTCGCTCAGCGATAGTAGCTTCTCTCACATCACAGCACTCTACGTGTCCCCTTCAATAAGCGTAGAATGTAATTGTTCAAGGAAACCTGCTGGAAGATTGGACATGAGGATCACTAATAGAAGGTAGAAGGGACCGCAGCCCCTTGTGGCATTGTTGCCAAACAGCTAGAAGCCTCTTTGACCTCTTTGCCCAAGGCAATCAACTCTCTTGACTAGGTGTAAGCTCGCTGAAAGCTCAATGCATCATCAATCTTTTTGAAGCTTTACTTTCTGACTCTTCGCAGGCTGATATTCCCTCAACTTCGTGTCTTTTTTGCAGAGGCATCCCAGCTTGTCATTGACGTCTCGGAGGCAGCGCCCAAGGCGTGCGAAGAACCGTACGGCCTCTTTCCCTGCTCCACAAAGGCCGTCCCCAACTTGTTCCTGGTGGCCGTCTACGGCTACCTGCTCTTCGTGGCGGCCAATTTCATATCTGATGGGAGCGAACTGCTCTTGGAAGTGAGAAAGTGGCATGAACTTGATCTGTAACTTGTACTCACTAATCAATAGACCTCAGTATCTATTGAGAATCGCTGCAGTTCAGACAAGGGAGGCAAACAGGTGTTTCAGACTCTCTGCTTGCTCTCCAGATCTTTCTTCTCGTGGCTACATACTGCAAGCTGCCAGCATCTCCTAAAGTTTTGTCAGGCACACTGGGATTTACGCTCTTGTCATGGTTACGCACCACCACCTCTGAAGTGTTCAAACAGTCTTCTCAACTCCCCTGTCCCTGAACGTTGCAGGATCTCATCGTTGAAAGTTTAGGTGTTCCGGGTTCTGGACTTTCGTTCACCCTTGACTGTCCAGTACTACTGTTATTGACAATTGATATCTGTAGGGCTCAAGTAGAAGCACATCGGCCCTGTCAAACTTAGATTTCGCGAGTTTTCTTGCCTCCAGCTAGGCCCACAACACTTTTACCTGCGTTTCTAGGTCTTGAATCCTGGCATCATTGGAGGTCTCGTCCTGCCTATCCTGGGCGCCTTTCCCGACGCACTGCTCGTCCTCGTTTCCGGCCTGGGAGGAAGTCCTGCAGAAGCTCAAGAACAGGTGAGACTGCCAGTCTGACGTTTCGAAATGAGGACACAAACTCTGAACCCTTTCACTTATCTGGGACGCTCGTCACTGAATTGGATCGATACTTTAATCCAGAGGCCTTTTGCGACTTTGACTGCTTGACAGCACTAGGGTGGCCTCAAACAATCGTCAAACATTCCGATAGGACTCTAACGAACACGGGCTGCAGCTTTGGTACAGCCTCTGACACGCTTCTCCACTCGGTAGTTTTGTTCCGCATACCACCCAAGAGCATCCGGAATCTGACACAGCTTATCCAGCGCCGTCAGGTTCAAATGATAAAGACTTTCCAACTCCAGAGACTCTCTGGACCGAATCGCCTCTGCGCCCTTTCTGGTGGGCGCAGGTGATGGTCGGTATGGGCGTCCTTGCGGGCAGCACGATCATGATCCTGACAGTTGCCTGGGCCGGCTCGCTGTACGTGGGTAAGGCCCCTGTCCAAATACGCATACCTCACTGCTTCTCTTGAATGGTTGACAAGTAGAGAAGCGTGTGGTGTACTCCAGTTCGTTGTTGGGACGAGGACAACCGAAGGGCCTGCCAGTCTATGTTCATTTTGAGCGCCGTGATTTGTTGTAGCAGCAAGCGAGAGAAACGACACCCCGTCTAGAATTGTCAAGCGGAGGAAATGTCACGAATATCCAAACCTGTGTGGTCGTTTCAGATCTCTTTCCCACCCAGGTCCGGCTCATGATCGTGCTGTCTGTCGAGGATGGACATCTTCTCTCGAAGCATCCCCCTATGGACGCAGCATCTGCGTGGAATTTATTACGACAGCAGATTGATCCTCGATCTTCGGCGTTTGAAGAACCTTACCCTCTCGTCAACAAGGCGAAAACCCACTCAAAGTACGAGGATAACGCAGAACCGAATTGATTGAGGCTCGTAGGAAACCTCTTCTGATCGGCCAATTTGCATTCAAGAATGTTAAAGTGTGCCTTTAGTATCTTTGGATGATTCAAATGTCCATTCGCTTATTGCAGGGCGGTGCGATCTGGACGGCCCAGGGAACACTGCCAAGGACCGCACGCTGACCCGGACGTCTGATCTGACCGGCACGGGAGTCACCACCGACGAGCAAACTAGGCAAGGTTGAAACAGTCTCTTCCGTGTCGGTTGTCGTTCGTTTCAACTTTTGCAGTCTTGTCTAAGCGCTAACGATGGAAAGACTGCTTCATGGCGATTCTCTACAAGACAGAATACTTCAGAGCCCTGAGTTTGCATGGGGTCGGCATCCAGTCCGGCTATGGGGACGACGTGCTTTGGTAATCTTTTCGTTCGATTCAAGGAGATCGAAACGTGCGGGTCGGAGATTCAAGCGAACAGAGCATTGCAGCGGAGGGAAAGCGTCTAGAGAACAATCTTCTATTCTGTTTGGGCTTCGACTATGAGATGCAGGTCAAGGAAGGGTTTGAGAGGTGGTGTCGAAGCACACAGCTACTGCGCTTCGCTGCATAATGAGCGGCCATCAACGAATTTGGTCGGTCCTTGGCTTCGCTTCAAGATCGGCTTTCGCTTCGAGATCATTCGTTTCGCGCAGCAAGAGACCTGCATCTTCGATTCTAAGAAGCTTCGACATGGCAAAATCCACCTCAGTCAGACACGGAAGCCTGTACCGTACAACCGCCTTTCTAGGTCCGCGATTTTATAACAAAGAAACCAGCGTTAAACCGCCAATGGATGTGCGCGTTTTGTACAACATGAACCACCTGACCGGTTTCACGAATGAGCATCTAAAGAACCGCCAGCCTTTTCTCCCATCTTATGCCGTTCTAACGCGCTGTTTGCCGGCAGGTTTGGCGCGTGGATCATGATGGCATCCACCATTCCGTTCGCGGTCGTCCAGATTCCGCTCCTGGACGGACAGCCGGCCCAGGGCCCGGAAGCGTCCGCGATCGGAGCCGTCATCTCGTTCACGGGTCTCGCAGCTTACTGCGCATACCAGGTCTGGGATTTAACCGAAAGTGGTCTGGCTGAAAGTCACGTTTTTTGTACTTTTCAAGAACCCTGTGCACGAGTTTTCCGTTGTACAAGCCGCAGGTTGCAACTTCTTGGTGTATCCTACGTGCCGATAGAGTGCTTCCGAATTCAGCGTGAAACAAGTCCGGTGACAGGCGGCGTGTTTATGGAGGCAGCTTGTCAAATGCAGAAGAGGAGTCATCATCCAATCTTTTCTTAGTTTGGAGATAGCAACTCGCGTGTCCAGAGGAACGAGGAAAGTTGGATTCCGCAGTGAAATTTGCCATCATCTTAATTGCGTAGCTGTCGCTGCGTAGTGTTAACCCATGTTTCGTGAAATCGATGCAGCGTGGCAATCTGCGTATCAACGTTTCTGGCCAGAACTACATCATGCAGATGGCGAATGCTGTTACGATTCCACCCGCCCGCTAGATTTTCAATCCTCAAAAGGACATACGGAGTGGGCCAAATAAGTGGAATAGCAAGGAAGCAAGCAGATCTCGTAGGTACTACAAGAAGCAGACTTAGAGCATGCAGAATTCAAAGCGAAGTCTAAGATGTTGCTGATTCATGCTGACGTCGTCTTCGTGCCAGGTGGCCTCCCCGTGGCTCCAACAAAAGCGGATAGACCAAGCCCGGCTGACTTTCCTCCAGTAAGCAGGCCACCTTGCAACACCCCCTACTTCCGAGCTACCAACTCTTTCGTTCGTTTCGCGGTATATCTCTTTCTGGGCGGCCCGAGAGTTCCTAAGCGTCTGCATAGGAGACGCTTAGTTTCTCGAATGAACCTCACTAGGCTTAGTTAGATTGGAAACTGGTCTGACAGCGAGATACCAAAAACGCGACTTTTGAGCTGTTTTCCTTTGGCTCTTTCGAAAGAGCGGGAATGGTCACCGGCCGGACCGAGCTTGACCGGTCAGGAACTCAAGTACGGGACAGTAATTTAGTCCCCGTAGGTAGATGAAGGTCAGAGTGAGCGGATAACTAGCTCCGTGGCCCGGGATATTCCCTCGGAGCCTGCAAAATCTGGCCGTCTCCTGGAAATAGGGGAAGGAATGCATTGGAAACAACAATCAGGGTTTCTTGTCAGCCGGCGACGACAGTAGATCTTTGTACCAAAGCAAGAGCGATAGCCAAAGCCAAGGTCAACTGGGGTCTCAAATCACGGGTGACGGAAGCGGTTTAATCGCAAGTCTCTGCCTTACAGAACCCGGGCCCTACAAGGCGTGTCCAACCGGGCTTCGAAGCTCTTTGGCGGCGGCCGTGGGGGGCTCTTCCGGGGTGACGGCGTGACACCAAACCAACAGGCACTAGAGAAAGTGTTTGCCTACTTTGACGGAAACAAAAACGGTAAGCGGCGCAGGGAGAAGTGAGACGCGCACAACCAGGTTGGCCGGGGAAAATCTTGCTGCAAGATGCTGATGCGTCATCCACCTGCTCTTTCCCGTTCCTTTCGTGACGAAGCACCAGCTGACCAAGGAATAGCAGTTCTTAGGCCCACCTTAGAAAACGAATGGCTTTTCTCGACGGGTTGTAAGGGGTGCTCCAATAGGGACGCCGTTCGAATCTCCCTGGGGCTCATCCTGATGTTGTCCTGCTTAGCACGTCGATCGACACTGCTGAGGGTCCTGATCTGGCCTAACCCACAGTCAGAAGTTTGCTTTCGATGACGTCATCACCAGCCACCGTATATGCTGGAACCCTCTTCGTTTCAAGCCCGTTTGCATTGTCGCAGCCCTCGAAGAAAGCAGAATTTTGGTAATCTCTCTTTCACATTGACACGAGCTAGTCGCTGCACATCATTTCAAACCGTACGAGGTTCCCACGTGTTTCGCTTAGCGCCTGCCACGTGCTGCCTGCAGGGCTGCTCGAGCGGAAGGAGCTAGAGGGCCTGATGCTGGGCCTGGGGATTGAATACGAGGGCGATGTGCCCCCAGAAGAGGAAGTGCGGACCTGGATGGAAGGTCAGGCAGGCTGTGCGGTTTAAACCTCGGGATTTGGCCTGCTCGCTGATTGCTGTTTGATCTCTCAAGGCGTTTCCAAAAGGAGTTTGGCCGTCGATGATCGCAAACATGGTGTGTATGATGCGGCTGCTGACACATGCTGATTCTGGAAGATTTGCAAAGAGGATGCAAGGGCCAAAATCTGTTGCAACGACTAGCTCCTTTGTTACTTGAAAAGAAAAATGTCTCAAGGCGGAGCAAAGAGCGAGCAGGGCCTTGCTCAATGTCGGCCGCAGTATGCACGGTTACTGAGAATGACATCAGCACTGGATTGTCTGTGCAGACTTTGACGTCAACCAGGACGGCAAGCTGTCCAAGCACGAGTTTCTGGAGGGGATGGGCAGGTACGTGAAGCAGTCTTTCTCAATCTCTCTTCGATCGAGCAGCTTTGAGCAGGCCTGCTACCTACTGACGTCCTCGGAGCGAGCTTTCATAAGAAGTGACTTATTGAGACACGTCTCAGTATCAAGTTGAATCAGGCCTACGGTGAGTTGCATCAGATCCCTCGGCTCGACAATTCAAACATCTGAATCCAGAGTCCAGATGTCCGCACCCTTACACAGTCTAAACCCCCGGAACTATTCCACCCGTCCTTCGGGCATGGACTCAGCACACCGTAATGTGATGGAATATCATACCAGTTTACGTATCTGGTTAAGGTGTCTTTTCCTTTGGCAGGTGGGCCAAGAAGCTAGCGTCACAGAAGGCCAGCCGAAGATGGGCCACGTTTTCCTCCGCTGCCAGGCCAGCGCAAGAGCACGAAGAGTTTTGGGTGAGTTGCGTCCATCTTGCAAAGTGCTGCTGCTGCTGCTGAATCTAGAGGTAGCAAAACGTCCTTCCACAAGGACCTCTGGTTAAGATACTGGCAACTGCCATTCAGTTGAGAAGCATTCCGTCAGGGACTCGAGTTTACCGGGTCTTAATTCGAGGATCCTAACCGTCAAGTCTATGCGCGCCGCACCCGAACTCACCCTGACCACCCAAACTAACCCGGCTCGTCTCCGGGGCACTTTTTCAAATACGAAACTCCTGAATAAACTGAGAGTCACTCAGACTTTGCTTGAGAACGTCATTGGATGCAACTTTCAAGTGCTTCTCGGTCAAGCTGGCAAAGGATTGGCACACAGTCGTCTGCAGCCTCTTCTCTATACCCGCCTTGCAGTATGTTAGAATGAGAGGATTCAGAAGCGGGTCAGACAGCGAAGCTTGCAGTTGAGCTTGATCTGTGCCCCCTTGAAAACCCGTGATGGGACTGACTAGAGTGACATTCTTGATGCTGAGTCAATTCATACTAACTTCTAGTACTCGGCTCTCTAGGCCGCAAAAGCCTCTGAGGCCAAGGTGACGTGGGACCTGCTCCAAACTGAAATGGGGGGTGGCGAAGACGAGGAGGAGGAGGGGGGGGGAGAGGAGAAGCTGACGCCGGGTCAGGTGTACCGCAAGGCCGCGGGGCTGATGCTAGCGGGCGCAGCCATAGCGGGCGTGTTTGCGGATCCACTTGTCGACTCAATTGGGAGCTTCTCGGCAGCGTCAAACATACCGCCATTCTTCGTCGCCTTTGTGGTGAGAAAGGCTGACACTTCCGCCCTGTATTTTTCATGTGATTATGAATAGGGATTTATCCACTCTGAACATGGAAGGCTTCATCCAGCGAATAGTCAAGAAGGACGAATCTGAAATTGCTGAAAAGGGTGGCACCACGGCAGGTGTCTTAGTCAGGAGATATGTATGCGAGCAGATTAGCGCGCCACTTTCTGTGCCTCGCTGTATACTATGCTGAGGAAGCGTTGCACACACCGCCACTTGCGACCTCGTGTTGTAGGGGGGCCATTCTGACCCTTTTATCCCGTCCCGTCGCTTCACACGCGGACTTCTTTTGCGCTTTTGCGCGTGCGTGGAACGTACTTAGAGTCAAGAGGGCTTCTCGGGATGTTAGGTTCACCAGGATAGATTCAACCGACGGGTGTGGACCTTCACAATCGCCAAAAGCTTTGGCGTGGTTGAAGCTCGGACAGTCATTGTTTGTGTCCAAAGTCTCTTTATGTTGATTAGGGTGCTTACCATACTCTGCTTGATACCGGTGTTATATTCGGTAGCTTGCGTAGGGCCAAAGCAATCTGCCAATACCCCTCCAGATCAAGTGCGTGTCGCTTATGCAGCACTTTACGAAATCTTCTCGTCACCACACTAGGCAAACACTTTTATGCAACTCATAAGCGATCTTCTCCTTTCCCAGGTGACGCCATTCGCCTCCACCGCCAGCGAGCTGGTATCGTCGCTCACGTTCGCCAAGAAGAAACGGAAGCGGAACATCTCCTTGACGTACAGTCAGGTGGGCATCAACTCTGTCATATTCTTGCGTCCTCTCATCTGCTCATGTCCATATGAGAGAACAGCACGGCTCTTAGCCGGAAACGACGAAGTATTCTAAGTTTCATTGTCGGCCAAAGAAGCGGAAAAAGTCACACCGGCGCCTCCAGATCCAAGATCTGCTGGCTCAAACGACCTTCTCTCGTAGAGAGCTTAGGACTTGGCAAGAAAGTTCCAGATATCAAACATTTCGGTGGTAAGGCTTGGACCAGCTGAAGCCGCGTGACCTCGTTGACTCTACCCTCCACTCTACTAGTCCAGTCAGGAGAGAACTCTTACGTACATAACACATTCCTCTGAAGTGTATTGTGTAAAGTGAGCAGGGGACTTCGGAGTTGGCAGAACTTCCTGCCTCCCCATCTCCTGAGTCCATCTTCCAGATTCGAAACAAAATCAGAAGCGAGTGTGTTGACGAAGTCTCCAACCAACTGCGGGTCACGTCGAGCTAACGTACTCCCCTGACCACGATGGCTGCCTGCTCTCGTGCGCAGGTATACGGCGCAATCACGATGAACAACACGGTGTGCCTGGGCATCTTCTTGGCGCTCGTCCACTTCCGCGCGCTGACGTGGAACTTCTCCAGCGAAGTCACCGTCATTCTGCTGACCACTTTCGCAGTGGGCGCTCTGGGCGGGTCCCGAACCACGTTTCCCCTCTGGACCGCCGCACCGGTCCTGGCGTTGTATCCCCTGTCGTTAGGCGTAGTCGCCTTCTTGGACACTTACCTGGGGTGGACGTGATGCACCGCATGTTGACGAGCTCGATGCGCACTTATTTGCTGAAGAGTCGGAGAATCAAAAATGAACGGTTGACTGAATGAGTATTACATGAGGCGCTAGACATAAGTTATATCACCCAATGATGAGGATTTTTGAAAAAATTGCTTTCGTATTGAATCTTCGACAGGACATGAACAGACTTAATGTTAAGTCGTAATCCGCTTGACTTGCATAATTCAAGCCGACGTCGACACGTACGTGGCCCGTGGGTTGACAGTTCTAGGCTTTTATGACTGATGATATCATACATGCTCTATTAGCAACTGCAGCAAATCAGTCACATGAAACAGACAAGCTAAAATTGACTATTTGTTCGCCCCATCATGCTGGCCGCGCAAACATCCGACTTATAAAGCTTGGGAGCATGAATCCGCGAATTCTCCGGGATAACAATTCAAGTTCCCACTGTAGTAGCATGATGAAACTTGGGCCGTCATGAATTGAGTACACATATATGAGTCGGCGGCATGCATGGTAATCAAGACCATTATTCCATGCCGCCATCATCGGCCAGCATTTGCGCTAGATCATGGCCTCCTAACGCCTCTGCCCCCGACGTAGTCCGTAACGCTAGGTCGCGGGCGATCCGAGCCCGCGACTCCATGCACCTTAGAATGTGCATCATAGGCAGTAGGCGACTCGATCATGTGGGGGGACGACCGGACCCAGTGAGCATGCACTACTCCACTTATAGGGCCGGGTCACTACTATTCTTTGCAGATCTGCAGAACATAACATTCACTAATGCATGCTGTATTGAGCTGCCCACTTATCTAAAACAACTGGCACATGTGCTATCGCATGAAGCCGACTCTGCGTGGAATGCATAGTGGTGCAGTGCCATATGGAGATACAGCGGCTTTCACTTCCAAAGTCTCAACACGTCAGTCACAGACGGCCTTGCACGTCATAACTCTAGAGTCGGACCGGACGTAAACGCTAAGGAATTGGCAAGTTGACACAGAGACATGTACTAGGCTAGCGACATACGTTGAAGGCAGCTTGGACTGGCGAGCTGACTCAGAAACTTACATGCCCAATTGTCAAAACAGATACTTACTTGGCCCTCAGACCCATGTATAGGTAAGACAGTCACCTTAAGAGTGGCTGACCAGGTTGAGATTTCCGGTGTCTACTAAGATAACAAGTTGTTGTTGACTTGTTGCAGTCTGCTATATCCCGTTTTCTCAGTGATGTTTACAGGCCTGACATCGACTGCTAAAGGACAATAGCTACCAACGCTTGACATGAGACCTCTTGAAAAAACCAACCCACCTAAAGCGCCCAATGGACGCATTACCACCTACTGTCGTTTCGACACCAAAATGTCCGAAATAGACTGTCGTATACGACCCTCGTGTGGACCATGGATCATCCACGAACACCCTAGGCTTTGACCTTCTTTGCAAAGGCCGCTGGCGCATTGATGGTGGACTCCATGGAGGTGTGCCATTGGACCACGTAGTCGAACACCTGCGGTTTTGACACGTGGCACTGGTGAGCATGGAACGTGCCTCGTCAAAAGCGTGGTGCCTCAGTGTCGTAAGCGAATGCTACGTCGTATGTTATTCTTGGAGCATTTCGCCGTGAAAAGCTGCATGCTCATCTCAGCCCGACTCATTCGCTGCTTCTCGATATTTGTAAGTCGTTCAGAACCACAGCAAAGCGCTGGATAATAGCTGCTTTGCAGTCATTATCGGAGACAAGCGAGTTTTAATACAAGGACTCCCACGAGACAGCCTGTGGAGACCTGCATAAACTTCTGATGTGGATTGCCAAATGATCGAACGGCCTCCCAAGTAGAGGAAACAATCATCTTATCCAGATTTCCGGCAAGCTTGCAATCACGCGACACCGTCATCACACAGCTTGCCACTCCTCACGTCCATAACGGCAAAACATGGATCCACACCTCTGTGATACGGTCCCAGAAAAGGAAGAAACCAGAATAGAGAAGCAGGAGAGGAGCTCGTTACGGCTCTCGAAGAAGAGTACAGCGAGGTACCCATGCAAGAAAGAAGGAAGAAAGCAGCGGAAATTTAAGAGGAACGCGTTGAGTTGTCATGATGAGCGAAACAAGTGGCGAGCAACATTGTAGGAGTATGTCTCTGTAGTTCCCCTCCGGCAGCTTTCAGAGGAGCGGACGAGAACAAAAGCCTGGTGGCCTGGTAATCGCAAAATCCAAACCGCCCACAAAAGCGAAACGCGGTGAGGCGCATTGCCAAAATTCTCCAAAGTCAATTAACGCATTGTACGAGTGATACAAAAACTGTTTCACGAGATCCCTTGTGAGCGAGCCTTACGGGGATATCGGTCTCGTCGTTGCCGAGCGGCTCCGCGAGCACGTTGGCGATCTCGCGCAGGCCCTGGAAGGCGAGGACGGTGAGAATGGTGGCGATGATGCCCCAGTAGCGCGAGTAGAAGATGAACATGTAGCTGATCAGCACCAGCCACGCCGTGTTCATCAGCGTGATGTAGTGGTACAGCGCAAACGGCACCTGCGGAAGGGGGAAGAGTGGTGTCAGGCTTGGGACTGCGCATGTCTTAAAGAAACCATCTTGCTTAAGTTTCGCGGGTCTAGAACCCGGTTGTGGAAGCGGATAAGATTGGTAAAGAGAAGATGGAGAGGCTTCGTCGCGGGCGGACCTTGACGTGGGTCGTTAAGGAGCTTGATGAGAGCGGGAAGGAAAATTTGAACCTGGCTAAAATTTTCTTGAACTAGACCAGAACCCAACACGAACTTCACAGAAAACGCGCCCGCTCCATCTTCGAAGCTCGGACGAGCTTCAATTTGGAGTCCGCCTACAAAATCCGCGTGACAGGGACCCTTGAGGATGCACGAAAGCGAAGCGATGCCAAATCTTGGCTTTTATGACAATAAGAAGCCTTTCTCCTGAAATGCCAGTGATTTACTTTCGTGGAAGCAGCGTCTAGGCAGAGCACGTTTAAGAGGGATCTTCCATAAGGACCGAAGGCAGCCCTTCCGCGCTTCGCAGGTGACTTCGCTGCAACCTCCGCCAAGTCAGTCATCCTAGAGACGCCTTTTTATAAGGTTTAAGGGCATTACACAAAACAACAATGGGGGGATTGCTCAATGCGCCCAACCTGATGCCGGCAGCTCTAAGTTGCGCTATGCCCTCTACGTGACCTAACCGTCTTTTTGTCTCAGAACCCCAAAAAACGACCCCATACCGCAGTGGGTTGGACTCAAATGGTATCAAGCCGGCGTGAAGTTTATTGTGCGCAGTGGGTTGGACTCAAATGGTATCAAGACGGCTTGAAGTTTGTTGTGCCCACCGGCATCTCGGTGGTTCCGTACAGCGACTTGAAGCCGGTGGTGATGCCGCTGATGTTGGCGCTGAGCTCGCACACGGTGCCCTCGCCAATCTCCTCCTTATTGGCCCACAGGTACTGCGTGGCGCACGACTCGAGCTGCACACGGAAGAGGAGATTGGTTCCGTACTGTGTAGCTTGAATGCTAAGAGGTTAGAGTTGCCCAAATTAGGTAAGTTTTGTCCATGTTTCATCACACTTTCGAGTGCGCTCTTTACGACGTGTTGAGAAGAACGAATCTGGCTGCTCTTGGCTTCGTTGCTCCTTTAATCCCAACCGCTCCTGCTTGTCTCGCCGTGACCGTAGGTGAGCTTTCGTACTTCTAGAAGTTCAAGAGAGGATAAAGGCCGGAGTAGGATTCGTTTTCAGGAGCTAGGAGCAAAAGAGGCGCACATCTCAAGCTGCCTGAATGGGACCCGCCCAAGGTGCGGAGGCCTTCTTTGTGTGTGCTTTTGACCAAGATAATGCCTGTCTGGAAGACGAAAACGGAGGCATAGTTGCTGTCCTGACGGAGTAAAAGATGCAACATGGGGACGAGCTACAGTGTGGAGCGACCCGAATACTAGGTCAGAGCTTATTATTCTGCTCAAAGGCACTAAGATATACTGGAACATCACGGCAAAAAGCCCAGAAGACTAGTTCTTCTTCAACGAGCTGAAAACCAGGCGCATTACATCAACTGCAAGTAATAGACCTGCTCAAGGTCGGGGAGGCATCCCAGGCTTGCACCTTATCCATTACTGGTAGAACTCTCAAACTTCGATTGCTACAAGCCTGGAAGTATGGAGCGTGCTGTTAAAACTCGAAAAGTCTTACCCAACTGAAAATTCTGAACCCTGTAGAGTCAAAACCCTGAGGTTCCAAGCCTCACCTCGCTGACGGGGTACTCGCCGGGGTGCAGCGCCAGCAGATGCTCAATCTCCTCATTCCCCACCAGGCCGCATTTCACCACGCGCTCCCAGGTCCACTCATCCACGCCGTTCTCGCGGTTGGTCGGGAGCCAGCCAAAGCCCAGGTACGTCTGCGCAATGGCCCACTTGGCCACCTTGTTGCGCACGGTCCTCGCGCCGGGGAAAGCGTCGTCAGGGATGCGGGTGCGCAGGAGGCCCATCACGGTGTGAACGCTGCCCTCGATGGCGCGCACGGTGTCGTACTGCTTCTGGAAACTGCAGGATTTGGCGATGCCCTGTGTCAAGGAACTAGTAGAGATTGCGGACTCTGGTCCTAGTTGCTGCAGAAGGAGAAGTTTTCGAAGGGGCACTCACTGAAGAACTCTTCCTCATTCTGGTGGCTTCAAAAAGCCGTGATAAAGCGATCAATCCTTCTAAGAAGAGATGCGTGCATGCACCTAGAAACTGTCACTTAGGGTTGCCCGGAGATTATCTCAAGCAAACTCTGGCTGCTTCAAGCTTGATTGACAAGTATTGGGCGAACCTGCGCGCGAATCAGAATCAGTGAATAATGGCGCCAACCAAAAGCAAGCCCTTTAAAATTCGTGCAATGTTCCACTGTGCATTGCAGCGCCTTTGTACCAAACGTCCAGTCCAAGTCAACACTTTCAAGAGATCAAAGTTTTAATTGACAACCGTCTTCGGACATCTTTTTCTCCCATATTTGTGGTAATTGATGACAGGACCTAGCAACTCCAGATTCCCCAAACATGTGTGAATTCAAGATTAGACCCTTACCGGCTGTAACAATCGCTGGCGTGGAACACGAGCATGAACGTCACGATACCACCAAAGCTGCCCCAGATGGCGGACGTAATGTAGGGCCAGCCGCCCGTGTCAAACGAGCCATCAAAGTTCTCGTGGTTGTGGCAGATCGCATAGTAGACGTATGAGAGGATGACATTCTCAAGGATGACCATCCAGAAGGTGAAGCTCTTGAGGCACATCTTGACAGATGTGCCTGCCAACATGAGGGCGTATCGGAGGGGGTAGTTGGCGTCGTAAGTGATTGTGGCGGGGGCCACCTGCAGCAGACAGAATGAGGGGGTGCATAAGCGCAGGAGCACTCCTACCGTTGGCGCTTGCATTGCATTTGACTTGTCGAAACGGGAGGGTATCAGAGGATTCCCACCATTGCTTGAGCTGTAAAATAGAGCACAAGGGTTATGGCGGACCAAGAGCGCATTTACTGCGATGCACGTTCGTTTGCTGCATTGAACGTGAACGCAATGCATGCAACAAGGTGTTCATTTCACACAACGAGGTCGCCATTCACACCACACAATATTGAGATCAAAGTATCCAAGGAACCTACACTTTGAGAAAGAAGTAAAAATGAGGGTTGTGATTGGGAGAGTCAAACGAGGAAGTCCTGAATCTTCAAAAGATGGAATGTACCTTGCCCTTCGTTTGATCACATTTGCAATCTCTTTCAGAAATCACAACCTGCTCACCGAGGACTGAAGTCACAGCTACACTCTGCCCTTCCTTTACTCGCAAACCCTGCCAATTCTGCGGTGCATGCATGCGGCCTGAGTCCCTCCTATTGCAGGGTCAGCCTTTGACATAGACCCTCACCAGAATTTCACAGGGTACGACTCTTTTTCACACCACTCTCACCTTCCCTTCGTCCTTCAGCTTCTCCAATGCGGCCGAGAAATCAGAAGTCTCCGCCCGCCGGAATTTGCTGCCGATGGCGGCGGGAAGTCGCTTGATGTGCCCGTTCTCCATAGCGGCGCTTTGATCGCCGAGCAGGGGGGTGGACGTACTGGAAGCCATGACTATTCTCTATCACGGTGGCACACTAGTCAACCTGCCACCGAAAAAAACCAAGCATGTTACAAAGGGGCTTTGAGTTTTAAATCAGATGCGATCAGTGCTACATGGGCCCTCACAATTGCTTGGTTGACACCATGTGGTCCAAAGGCGCATTTACATGTAGCTGCATTTGAGTGCCGGGGTGCAGCAAAGTCAGAACATTGACTCCACGTTCATGGAGGCAATGCAAAGTCCAGGGGCAGAATCAAGTGCTCTGAAATCAGCTGGGGGTCATTGCTGAAAGTAGCGAAACCACGTTCAGTGGTTCTTGAGCAGCAGTGATGCTTGACTGTCAGTGAGCCTGAGAGACAGGGACTGTTTGCATTCAGATTCACCCGTAAGAAAACCCTTCACTCCATCATCAGTAAAGAGGACAAGGGCAATGTCCTGGCTCTCGCAACGAATCACATGAAGTTCCAAAAGTGCTATCCAGTCTGTAATTGCCATAGCAGTATTCTGAGAGACCCTGCATTGGCAATAACGCGGGCAATAACGACATCAGCATTGATACACCAAACCAGAACTTATTCAAAAGGAGCAGCCGATTCTTCCAGAGTCCTCAGCCAAAGCTTTGTGTTCGTGTAGCAATGTTGGTTGATGAACTGCAAGCGGATACCACAGATCTCAAAGGTCCGATGGATCTCTCGACATTCCTGCCTAGATAAGCAGTGGCCTTGCCGATGAGCTCAAGCGTATCACTTACCAATGCAAGAAGCCGGCTCCACATCAACAGAGCGGTTTGCTTTGCGCCCAGCCGCAGATTGTGCTCAACTACCGGCAGAGCTGCCAGCCTAATCACTTTGAAGAAAATGGTGGAGAGGAGTTGACTTTCGCTATTACCTGAACATTTTAAGACTGGAAGTTACATACCGTACTGTGTTTCAAAATTAGGCGATCCTGTGTTGGACTTGAAGGGGCCACCGCCCAGGGGCCAGCCTCCAGGCCCTAGGTATACCGTAGCGCCAAGGGAACTCACCTGAAGTTAAATATTTTGGGGTCGGTGTGAAAATTTTGAAACTATTTGAAATCCGAGGTTGAAATGACGAAATGAAAAATATTGGTAAAAGTATTGTCATACGGCTGAAATATAGGGGGAAATGGGCAAAAAAAACCAGATTCGCCTTTTGTGCGAAATGTTGGAAAATATCCATTCCGCTCGGTGAAACCTAAAATCTTTCGAAATCAATTATTCGCACAAAAAGGTGGTGAATTCCCTTGGCGCTACGGTAGCTGAGGGCATGCCGCATTAGGATTCTGGAATCTCCCTTCTATGTCAGCGATCTGAATTCCTGACACTGACACTTCAAAGTTCAGAGGTGTTTATTGTACCTACCAACCAGTTTCTCAGCTCGCGCCACCATTAATGCACAGGTACCTAGGTACCTACCGCAGGAGGTACCCGGCTACCCTGGTCCCCGGAGACTTGAAAGTCAAGAAATAATTTCTTTTTTTGAAATACCGGTTAAGCCAAGGTTTGATTTAAAAAACCTCAACTTACCTTACACCCAGAACGCCTGATCCACAGGTGTACCAACGCTAATCACCGTGCTAACCCTCCCCATCTTGGTGCGGTTTAATTTATGATCATCTCTAACGTATATCATTTCTTGAGTTCGATCCTGATTCCTGGGTCCTGACTCTGAGTTTGTGTGCCCGGGCCTGTGGTAGGTACCGTAGTTATTAAACGGTGCTACGTACCTATATTGGTACCTATATTGGCTAAAGCTTGCAGGTTGCTCGGGAAGAAGCTGGTACCTAGGTAGTTCGAGGGTAAGTAGGTACGTGGTACCAACGGATTTGCGCATCCAGTAGGTACGGGCATAGGTACCTCGAGGCAGGTACGTACCTCTACATATATATCATAACCATAAAATTCAATAATAATAATAAGGCTCTATTTGTAAATATACGAAGAGAAAACTTCTGGTTTATTTAGGTACACTGAAACCCTAACCACTAATGGCTCGTTCCGCACCCGGACCCACCCTGGTCCCTAGCCACCAGATTAACCCCGGTCCCCACCCGTCTTCGTCGGCTCCTTATTACTGTCAGACCTTATTACACTTATGAAGTTTACTTCTTCCTATCTGAATTTCGGCCCGTCTTTGGTACCCCGCTCACTGGTCAGGTACAGGTGGGTATCAGCAAAAACTGTACCTACTCTAACCCAAAGGTCGCGCCGCGCCGGTATGAGCACCGGCATCTACCGGTCTTGTCAATCGAAAGCTTATATGCATGTTGACGAACATTCTGCAGAATACGTACCGGCTTCATGCAAGTCAGATTACAAAGGGGGAGTCGGGCTCTCGATTCGATACAACCGATTCCGGGCCCTCTATAATTACGGTATGTGCAGAGACCACGGCCCGTATGCGTGCTCATATTTCCTGTCTTCATGGCCCGGGGCCGGCCAATGTTGACGTTCGCGACAGAGACGACGTGAACCCGTCCTCATTAATGCGTTCGATCACGGCCGGTACTGGTCGGAGCTCAAAATCCTCCGTGCGAAAAGCATCCGAGCCGAGCACCAAACCCTGTCGCCCGTTCGGGAAAGGTCTATTTGGAGAACCCGGTACGCTTTCCCGGGACACTAGCTCTGCATAGCCTATTGTGCACGACCGGTGCACTTGGTACGGAGATTACCTTTAATACCGTAGGTCAATGTACAGACCGTACGGATGGTACCTGCCTACCTAGCTACGAGTAGCCTACGACTGTCCCGTGTACAGTCTTCCAGTCGCGACCTTGTTCGGAGGGGACGAGTCACGACTCACGACGGAACTGGAAACCGGCTAGGTACCTACCGTACCTACCTACCTAGTAGAGGCAGCTAGGCTCTAGCCTTTGAAGTTTGTGGTCACAACTCATGAGCTCTGCGCTGCAACTGGAGGAAAAGTATAATAATAGAGTTGAGACTTGAGACCCGTTCATGCTGTCATGCCAATGGTGGTCGCGAGGTGAAAGAAGTGGTATGCTGCTGCCACGAGCCGGCAGGTATCTACTTTGTGTTTCTGCAAGGTTATTGAAGGGTTCAGGACTAATGGTCAGTGCCTTGGTACAGCAGGGCATAGCAGGGCTGCGAAGCGTCTGACTGGGTTGCTCAAACAGGGTGCGTGCCGTAGGGGCGGGCAGAAACCAAGGGACGGCCTGGCCTGTTCTGGAAACGAGGGCATAAATGACATAGTACAACGGCTGCGCTCCCGACAGTATATTTAGCCCCAGTATAGGGACAAGCCTTGTTGCAGGCAAGTAGTCGCTGAGAGCCGTACAGAAATCCCAAGAGAAGGCTGCATTACTGCCGCTGTGTGGCTGATTGCACCAGACAGGTGAGCCCTTGTGTAGTGTATCATGTCAAGCTGCTGCTGATTTCCTCTGTCTTCTGGCCAACTCTTCTTGACTTTGGAGAAAACATGACAACATCCCTGAGCATACGTGGAGCGAAATCCAACGCATTATAGGGCGACATGGCCAGACTTCAACGACCCGACTGCAGCGACAATAGTGCATTGTAGTTTCGCCTCCCTTTGACACTTTCGTTTGATGTTTGAGGGCTGAAGAAGTAAGACATGATTCTTCAATGTCTGGAACGAAAAAATCTCAGGAGCTTGCTCAGGATGCTGTGTAGTACTTACTGAGTCAGTTGATTGGGTTTTCTTTTCCTAAACCCTGATCCTGGGCCCCAAAGTGGTTTTAAAGAGTCATATTACAAGAAATCAGCTCGTCAGGTGCATCAACTTGACAGGCAAGATACAGGGGTTTCTCGTGCGCGTAGACAGGCAGCATGACATCAAACTTTGGTCTGCAGTACTTGTAGATGCTTCATATCGTACAAGCTATGAGGGAGAGAGACCCAATGTAGACAGCAAAGTTCGCAGCTTCTGCTACAGCATCTTCAGGTTCTGTCTGTATCTCAGACTACACAATCACTTCTGATGTCCAAGTTAAGTGGTAAAAATGCCTGGGCCTGAATCCTGACAGCAGCAGCAAATGCTGAAGTTTAATGGCTGGTACACACTTAAGCCAACCAAGGCCGTTTGGTGTCTCTCTGATTTAGCGTGTCGCTGCCGAAGCTTCCTTAAAAGATTGCTTGGAGCGGGCGCTTTTGTCTCAGCCCAAGCTCAAACTCAAATCACAAAGCATGGCCCTGACAGCAACTTCTGTTGGTGGCAGGCTTGCGCGCGTTTAACCAGTCTATCAGGCGGTGTTCTTCTCATGTTATCATTGCAGTGCCTCGTCTCACTTGTCAGCGTGGAAAGAAAGAAAACCAGCTTCTGAGATCAAGATTGGCAGATGCAAGAAGTTCATACAAGCGCCTAACTTCATCTATGTGTCACTGTTGTTCTTTGTGCAAATTGACCGCGAAAACTTCTTTCATCCCACAGAAACGTAAACCCTGGTCAGTTTTCTCATGAATGACGTTTCCCCAGCAGTGCAATGGCCCCCGGCATGGAGATCGACGCTGCCAAGTTTGATGCGGAGATAGGAAGCTTGCAGCAGCTGCCCGCGGCAATGAACAACAACGGGAACCTGTTCAGGCCCCTTTCCAGCAACGTCTATGTTGAGGAGGTGGAGAAGCTCAGGAGTGCTGGCAAGGTCAGTACGAAGTTAGCCCATTCTTTGGCAGCCTTATGATTCAACTAAGTGATCCTAGACAGGTCCACGGAGTTTTAAGCAGATGGCATGTTGTGATCAAACTACATTTTCGTGACACCCCCATGAAAGCTCTTTGGAGGCCATCATTTATTGTTGATCTTGAGGAACTTGAAGGAGGAGTTTAGTTGCATTGTGACAGTAAGTCGGATGTATCTTCTGGCTCAGACTAGGCAAGGGAGACAAGTGCGTTTACACTTGTTACTGTTGAGGTGTGGCTGGAGCTGCTTGTTCACTGGCCGGACGTCTGCAATGAGAGCTGCAGCTGCGTTTTTTCTGAGTAAGAGCAGTAGATGTCGGGTGCAGCGTTCAGTCCCACATGATTCTGCTCTCAAGTATCTTCTGCTGATTCCTTTTGCGACTCTGCCTCCAGATTGCCCCGATGACCATCTTGTACGACCCCAACAAGACGCTGCTCCACCTGTTCGCGTGGAGCAGCACGGTGACCAAAATCGTGTTCAGCAGCCCCTTCTTCTGGCTTCTGATGACAATGAACGTTGTGCTGAGCATCGTTTACTACACCGCGCTCGGCAACTCGGAGAGTGTCGACTTCTTTGTGGACGCGCATGGCTGGCCCTGGATGAGCAGCTTCATCTACGGTTTCTTCGGCGGGCTCGTCACCTTCATGGTCGTCATTCACGCGGGCGACTGCTATGCCAGGTTAGTACGAGCCCCTCAAACCCAGCACCAAGAAAATGTTTGTCTGAAGCTTAAGTTCCAATCTAGGAATTGGAGGTATTTAAGGCATTCATATCTCAATCTGCAAGTCCAGGCGTCCCTAGTCGTGACCTTCTTCATATAGAGGTTTGACCTGATGCCGCGAAGACAATCCGTTCCCTTTCTGCATATTATTTCATGTTTTGGTGTATGGAACCTGATCGAAACTCATAGGCTTGCTGTCAAGACAACTTGCAATCCGCTAGAATCAACTGGGCTCCAAAAACCGTCGCTTCTATCTCGTGTGACCAGCTATGGAAACAGCTGTAGCACCACTTCATAAGAAGCCCAGTAAACTGATCAGAGCGCTCCAGTCGTTGCTAATACCAACTTCTACCGTACGGCCAAAGGATTCGCCACCTTTATGTGCGGAAAACTGATTTGCGTATGTTTTGAGTTTTTGCCTCGCGCTTAGAGAAATATATCACAATTCGCACAAGGCAAAGCTCTGCTTCTTAAGCCCTGCAGATGAGTGGTTTACGCATCTTTGAGATACATTCTTAGTTTCGCCTTTTCTCGATAAGGCTCCCATTTCCTTCCAGACTTTTAGGGGCAAGTTACCTTGGCGGTATGCTATCTCGGATCGCATTGCGACACCACACGAGCGCCCCCGTGCAAGCAGCTCCTTTCCCCCTCGCAGATTCTTCCAGCAGTACAACACGGTGCGCGCTATCGAGATCAACATTAACACCGTGATCAACATCCTGCGCACGCACCTGCCCAACGATGTCTTTGACGGCGCCAACGAGCTGCGTGCGACTGTTGCGCGCTGGGTAGTGGCACAGGTCAGTCTGTGGACCAGAAGGTGCAGCAAGTGGATCAATAGTAACCGGACTTACAGCAACCTTGCTTCAGCAGGGGACGTGCAACGCAAGAGAACACTGACTCGGACACCTGCATACTGAGATCGGCTTCCCCCAACTGCAATTCAGCACTAAAGTTGCATTCTTTTTAAATCAGTTCGGCACTTCATTCAGTTGCCCGGTGAGTTCGATACTGCAGAGAGATGCCAGCCTCTTACCAGACGGAACGAAGAATCTTTCTGGCCGGAAATTGGTCCCGGGTGACCCTCGCATGAGGTATGAGTGCACCTTCCGAGAGCGCCAACACAACCCCTTCTCGTCACCCATCCCCCAAATTATAAAACGACCTTATGACCTGCAAAATTCGTTTTCTATCAGGTGTATCTGGGTTTCGGCTGGCTGCCGTCGTACCGCGAGAACGGCGTCGACGAGTGGGCGTGGGCCAAGGTCAACGAGTACGGCCTCATCAGCGCTTCAGATAGGGAGGCGCTCATGAAGGTGCCCGTTGGGGAGTACCCCATCACCGAGGTGGGTCGGGCCGGCCGCGCACTGCTTCTGCTGCAGCTCAGCCTTTGGAGTCAAACTTCTGTTGAGAAGAAGTTTGACAGTTGACAGTTGACAGAAGAAGTTCTCAACAGTTGTTTGGTTTTGTGCACGGATTCGAGGTCGAGTTTGAAACGAAGTCTCACCGGATTAGTCAATGCTTACTAAGTTCTTATGGGCTCTCAAAGTCGACTCGGGGTTGTGACTAGGGAAAGGGAAGAGCTGAAGTCAAAGGGATCCCTGAAAAGAAGATCTGTCTAACTGGTACTGACCTTGTTTGCTGAGGGCATGGTTCAACGGGACGGCCAAATAAAATACCTTCCTAAAGTTTGGGTTCGCTTGAAGCGGTGTCTCAAGGAAAAGGGCCGATCCCACTTGATGGCCAATGGCAATGGTAAGCCTGTTGAAAAGGGTTGCTCACAGTGAGTTGTCCTTGTAGGACTCCTTGTGGACAGTGCTCTCAGTGCCGATTGGCGGAGGGCTTCTCTCACGCTGACTCTTGATCTGATGACTTGCCTTCCTTTCGAAGCTACCTGATTCGATGTTGATGGGGTAATATTCGACGCTTGGCATCACTTCAGTGGGTTTCAGGAACGTGCATTGGACAGTCGGGCTGGGCTGTCTGGGTTCTACGTCCGGCGACCACTCCGGTTGGCCGCCTTTGTTCCCGTCTGATTGGATCCCATGTCATCACTCAGGTCGTTTTGCCGATGTCCCATGTTCTGCGCATCCGGCCTGGCGATTACCCTTCAGAGACTTTGTGACGCAGTCGTTGGCTGATCGAGCTGACCGGTGTCTCACCCACCTGTTGCAGATCACGACGAGCTGCAGTCAGCTGCTGTGGGAGTACGTGAAGGCGGGCAAGATTGGCGATAACGTGGCGGCGGAGCTGGGGGGCCAGATGAGGGACATCCAGAATAACTTCTTCGCCCTTTATGCAACCACCGAACAGCCGGTGAGCTCATTCGCCTGCGCGTCTCCCGGTCTGGAAAGGCAACTTGGCGGAACAAGTCCAGGCCTTCTTAGTTGTTGCTAAGGTCTTCTGCTTTTGCTGACGTTGGCTCGAGATGGGCTTCTGCCCACGTTGGTCGGGACAGATGCAACCAGAGCCCCGCAAGTGGTGGGAGCATAGGCAGAGCATTGCGATGGTCTGGATACAGCCCGTGATGCTAACGGCACTGTGTCGATACCGGAGAGTGTCTATCTATTCCTGACGCAGGACCCGCAGTCTCCTGACTTACGCGCTACCCGAGAAGCTGTTGCATTCGATCCATGGCGCTTTTTAACTCTCTGTTGCAATACAGGTCTGTTTGATGGAATAGCGGATTGTTAGATTCCGACGATGCCACTGGTCGTGCATCAATCAACCAATCCTATTGAGAACCTCTCGCCCTTCGTGCACTTACTTTTCCTTCACCGGACCTTCTTTTGTGACAAGCCAACAGCACGAGCCAACCGTACTAAACCTGAATCAACAAGCCCCAAACCGTACCCGGTTTCTGCGCAGGTGCCGTTTGCGATGTACCACTACATCAGCCTGGTAAACAATTTGTGGCTGCTCCTGTTGGCGTACCAGTGGATCTTCTACAGCTACTACTGGGGCATCTTCGCGTGCTTCCTCAACGTCTACGCCTTCCTCGGCCTGCGCGAGCTCGCCAACAACCTCGCCGAGCCCTTCGGCAGCGACGAGAGCGACATCCCGGGTGAGGGGGCCTGCCCGGCGGTCGCCTAAACTGCGCTTTGTCTTTGGCTTCCAACGAAACCTGCGATACGAGCAGTGTGACCCTGTGAAAGCTTCTGTTGCGTCTTTGACAGTTTGTTGTCAAAGAACGTGATGACCTCGCGATATTTACCCTCCCGTGATAAGGACCTTGGTCTTTCAAAGGAACAAACGCGCTTCCGTTGCTTTTCCGCTGCCCAAAGCTGCCAGTGAGAGCATTGTTCTTCGCTCCAAGATGAGCAGATTTAAGTGAGTAAACGATCCTTAGACGGTCAGTCGGGCATCGGAGGACAGCCTGGCAAATGCACCTCCAAACATCTCGGAGGCGTTACGAAGTATATCGGGCGATTGGCCGAGTGCAGGCCCCAACTCAGCAGTGTGCAGCACCAGGGATACGCTCCATTTGGGTTTATGACTGATCGAAATTGATCGCTGATCTCGGGTGTGCGAAGCTGCCCGAAAAGCCCCTGAATTGCCCAGTTGCGTACGCCGTCGCTTCACCTTATCCCGACTGCGCATTCCGCTGACCGGGCACCGCTCCTGTGTTGGCAGTGTTCGATTTCGTGGTCAAGTGGCACACCCGGGTCGACAACTTCATCCACCTGCCCGTCAAGTTTGGCGAGCCGCTGATCTCCCGTCATGAGAGTGGAGTATCACAATGAAAACACCTCGATGCCTTTGATTAGTTGCCCTAGTTCGTTAGGTTTAGATAGGGGAACAAACACTTAATCGACGGTCCAAAAGGTAGTGCTTCGATTTGGTTGAGGTCTTCACTTTTGTTGGTAACTATAGGTGCTAGTGATACAGGGGCTATCTAATTGCGACGGCCACAAGTGTCGTCAGTTGGTTCATGATCGTAGCATTTATGAGGCTAAAGTTCCATGGAAGCCCACGGTCCGGATGCGGTAGAGATAGATGTTACAAACGGTTGCTTTTTGGTTTGAGGTTTGGAAATCCATGCCCGTATCTCTAATGTGCGACAGTATACCTCTACTGCCAAGTTGCGCTGATATAGCACTTCTGGGCGTTGTCAACCTCCTTCATGGTATTAGTGCCTTGTCAACGTCCAAAAGTGTTCGCAGTTGTTTCGATGCATGGTGGAGCGTTAACAGGCTTCTTGCAATTATCTTGTTGACACTTAAAACGTGCGTGAGCGGCCCGGCCTGAAAGGAGCAATATGCGCAGTCACTTCTCGGACTTAGCGTGGCAAGTTCCTTGCATGCACTCCTATGTATATGTCAGACGGACCTCCCAGTCAAGATTATACTCGAACTGTACGGAGCATTCATTAAGCTCATGTGACGTACATGGCCCGCGCCTGCATGTGTTCAGTCTCCGTAATCGTAAATGAGCCAGATTGGGCATAAGCTCCTCGTGAAGCACACAAATGTTTTGGAATTTGATTGTGAGGCGCTTCACGGCCTAGGCATACCAGCGCTTGGGCGCTGGACGTACATGCTGAATTATCTATTATGAAGCCATATGAACGGATCTTATAGTATGTCGAGCAAAGGCGGCCGGGCCAGTCGAGGCTAGCCCTAGGATCCTCGCGGAACAATTACCGTCTGCACATGATGAATTGCTTCCTTGGAGCGAAGGCAAGTAGTGGTGCTTGACAGGCATACAGAGGTTTTGAATCCAGGGTATATAAGGTCAAAGAATGTCGTTTACCAACGCGCTAAGGTGGCATTGTTTTGAGGTGGCCCCTTCTACTCTAACGCGCTCCCTTCAGTGACTAATACAGGACGTAATCCAGAAGTAACAGGCTAAGTTAAGGTGCTGCTATCGTTCAGGAAAGGAAGTCAACGCCCCACATAGGGAGCTAAGCTACCGACTCAGACTTGTTAGCACAAGGTATACCAGAAGCAACACAAGAAGCGAAAGCTAGCATAGTCTATACACATAGGCCAGCACGGCCCTCTTTGGCTGCCCAAACATCGCGGAATAGGACAACAACTCACGTCACTGGGGTTTGCCCTCGCGGGGGTTTTGCTCCCGTACGTCGACGTTCAGCCGGAACTGGCTGCTTTGGAGGGCTTCTAAATATTCGTCCGCCGGCATGGGCTTGTCCGGCCAACCGGGCAGCTTTGCTCTGTACCCGCCTAGAATGCTGGCCATCGACCGCCCGGCCCCCCCCTCCGTCCCGCTAGACTGAGTGAGCGACTGCTGACTGCTAGCAATTGGTGAGACGCCCCGACTCCCCGCATCCAGGAGCGCCGCGCGGCCCCCCCCGGCAGCTTCCCGTATGGCCCCCTCCTTCGCCCGGACCTCCTTAAAAGCAGAAACCCCGGGAACCCCAAACCCCACCGTTGGAACCGGCGCCTGTTCCCAAACCCGCCCTCCGCACCCGCTGCTTATCCGGTGAATAGGGAGCGATTCGGCTGACCCCCACTTTTTGCCCGGGGTGCTTCCCTCGTGTGGGACCTCCCCTTGTGGCCCCCTTTCAGCGTCAGAGTTCCACGTCTCGCTGCTGCTGCTCCGCCAGAGCAGGGAGCCCCCCAGGGCCCTGTTTTGGCCGGCGCTCACTCCAGGTCCCGAGCCTGACGAGCTGGCGGTGGGCGTCGAGGCGCGCGCAGGGCCTCCGATCGCAGACAGGGACATACCCGCCTTCATGCTGTCCAGGTAAGCGGCATATGCCGTGCTGGCGGCGACCGATGCCATGGCGTCACCTGTGAAAATGACACGTGCACTTCTATTCACCATTTGACTCGTCAGAATCGTCGAGTCCGACAATTGCTGCCGTCACAGCTCGTCAACAACATGTCGATGCAACTGAGAGAATTCATTACAAGTGGGAGATAGAATCCCGGCGTCGGTCTTGTTTGGGCAGGGACTCGCGGATGCCAGAGTGAGTAGTAATCGAAGATTCACTGTAGTCAGTGAACCTGGATGCAGTGCACGAAGCAGAAAGATGAACCTAGTGTGCCTTCTCAAGCGGGCCCGTCTTGCTCCACGTACATAGCCCTCAGTGCAGGCAACGACATCCGCATTCAGGAGTTACACTAAGGGCCGTCGTACCGAGATTTGATCACTATCTCGACGATGGTCACCAATTGGACACAGCATGTCAGGACTTCAGCCAAACGTTGAAGGCTACTTCAGTAGAGAATCGTGACCACAACCCCAGAGGACGTACCTGGCGCCAGTAACTGCGGCGGACTCGGTCGCCGAGCTGTTGGATGCGGTTGCGCGGCGCGCCAATCCTCGTTCGGCGCTTCTCCCGAGCCCAGCTCCAGCGTCAGATTCAGGGGCGGCTCCTGCGAGCGCCCACTCTTCCCCTTCTGCTTCTTGTTGCCCGTGTCGAATGACCTCTGACGGGCCAGCCTCCGTTCCTCCCCCGCATCCAGACCCTCGTGCGACCGTTTCCGCAGCGGTTTGACCCCCACCGCAGAGCTCACGTCCAGCGACGCGACGGACGAAGTGCCCGACTGAGCGGCCCAGTTGCGCAGAGAGACAGACGCGGGGGATGATCCCCCAAACACGCTGTACGGCAACGCGGCTTCTCCCAGGGGGGGGGTGTCGGCGCGGGTGTCGCGGGACCCCCCCAAGGCGGAGCTGGAAAGCTCGAGGGGCTTAAGGGGGTCCATCCGAACGTCTTGCAAGCGCCGTGCAGGACCGGTGGGCTGTGAGGCGGACAAGAAGGCAAAAAGAGCGCGGGGGGGAATACCCATTGGAGCGCCCGTAGGGGGCGCAACAGAAAACTGCGTGAGGGTTGGCACGGCGGAATGCCTTGAAGCTTCCGTGCTGGTCAGGAGGGGCGGCAGCGCGATCCCCTTGATCTCCCTCAACGCCTTCGAGCGAGCAGCCTCAACCACGGCGTTGTAGCTGCCCCCGAAGATGAGCCCCGCGGCCTGCGCAACAGCAGGCTCGATGCCGCCCCTCTCTACCGGCCCCGCCTCTCTGCCTTCCATCCGCGACAGCAAGTCGGCTTCCTTTCGGGCCCCCCGAGGCTCCTCTTGCGGCTGTCTCGGCCGCGTGTCTAGAGCCACGCTGTGGAAAGCCGAAGTCGCCGGCGGGCGCACTGGGCTCGGGAAGACGGGGGAGGGGGGCTTCATTGCAGCGCCTTGCACGTGCGCCCAGGTGCTGACAGGCACTGTTTCTGCAGACGCTGCAATGCTCGAGATGTTGGCCTTGAACTGTTCGTACCACGCCGACTGTTCCTCTACAAGCTGAGCGGCCTGGCCCGTGCTCGCCAGGTGGCGGCCTCCCCTCGCGCCATCTGGGGATATTTTCTGCAAGGCCTGTAGGAGGGGGGACGGGCTTGGAGCGAGAGGGTGTGACCCAGGGACCGCATCTAATTTCGCAGCTCCCGACTTGGTCTCAGTGTCCTGCCGCTCGTGGGGGGTGGCGGTGAGCTCTAGACTTAACCAGCTGGGTTTCTCGCTAACCTTGGCGTCCCTAACCTGGGCACGTTCATGCTGAGGGGCCCGCACCCACTCCGACCCCCCTCCAAGCGACGGAGTGCCTGGCGAGGCCCACTGCAACTCAGGCCGCGCCTTGTCACCCGGAAACGGCTTAGACCCCAGTGCCAAGTTGGGCACGGCACCCAATCCCTGCGTGCCAGGTGGCACGCCATGGTGCCCCAGGGACGCATGCCACGCCCCGCTCGCACGCGCAGCCAAGTCCTCAGGCACGGGGAGAACTGCGGCGGGGGCCTCTGGGGGCCTGCGAGGGCCAGGTAACAGGGGGGATCCCCCAAGGGACACAGCAGGGGCAGAAGCATTGAGCAGTCCCGCGACATTAGGGGCAGCCCATTTCGAGGCTTCAGTGCGAGACCAGGTGGAAGCCGCGAGGGAGCGGGGGTCGATACCGCTGAGATTGGGGATGAGGGGGGCAATCCCAAGGCCAACGGGGCGGGGGGGAAACGTGGGTCCTTGGAAAGACGAGGGGTGAGCGGGGCCCGCTTCTGTGGAGAGGAGCAGAGGGGGGGTTCAGTTTGTTTGCAAACGCAGCAGGGCATGGTAAATGATGCACTTGCAACTCATATACTGGCTCACTGTGAGCGGTGAGAAGACATGAAAACCTGGAAGATGTGCATATTAAAGTGAATCTATGGAGATTGCAAGCATTTGAAATCTGTGATCAAAGATCCAATTCAATCAAGGGTTGAGGGAATTGAACACCCCAGCAGATGTAATCACTGATCCCCCAAAGTACGCACAGACTATGCCAGAACGTGAAAAAGCTGGACAGCAGCAGCAATCTAACGACAAAAGAGAATTAGAATTAAGATAACCTTTTCAAACAGCTGGCCGTGCATCTCTGAGCTTGGACCCCATGCTACCAGCTAGGACAGCAAAAGCTCAGCCTGGCCAATCCATCCACTGGTCTGCTTTCTCAGACAATGAGATTGTCGCACCAAATATGATGCATGAGACAACAAAAGGCGGCTTCCTTGATCATCCTAAGCTCCCACAGCAGGCAAGATCAGAGCCCATGCTAAAGCTCGAAACGCGCTGCCCCACTCACCCCTTGAACCCAGCCCCTCTGCGCCTGCTATCGTAGTTCCCCGCTCCCTACCAGCATGATGCGTCATGCCAGGAGAGCCCCCCGCATCCCTGGAACTCTCCGCATGCTCATCAGCGCCTCTCTCCCCTGCACCTCTCTCCCCTGCATGCCCCACCCCCCCCCTTGGGCCCACCCCCCCCAGATGGGCAG